TCAATTGACGAGAATATTAGGATGTGCAATATCGTTTACTAATTAAAAAACTAGACATTAGCACTGTAGGATCCCGGCTCAATTATTCAAAGGTTAGCCGTTCACGCGCACGATACCAAAGGTCCTGTGTTCGATTTCGGTGAGTAGAAGGAGTCGTGGATGCGCACACTACTGATGAGTCCCATTCCAGGACGAAACAGCGGTCCAGTGCTTCTTGCAGGTTACAAGTAGAATCGGTCTAACACTGATTGATTAATGATTTCAATGTACAGTAGTAATATAAATAGGACAGAAAAATGTTTACAATTCTTATTTCAGATTTCATTCACCTGGTGTTAAATAACATTCATTTTTATGTCTCATTGTCCATGATTTTAATTTACAAACTTTAGAACAAAAATACACACGATGACATCGTGAACAAATGGTTAAACGTACACCAACTGAACGTCCACACTCATAACAAAATGAATATGATACGACACTGGGGAAGGAAAAAAAACAGAATAAGAAATTACAGGTTATTTTTAGAAAAAAAAGTTTTTTTCCAAGAATTTGTAAAACATTTATGTGTATATATTTCATTTGAAATTATGAATCAATGATTGTGAGACTCCTGTCTAACTAGACTTGAGCAGGCTGGTTTCAGACCTAGACGTGGATGTATAGACTAAATATTCACACTAGTTAGGTTCTAGAACAAAGACACATGTTCAGACGTTCCGTAATAGAAGGATTTCTTGACCTTAAAGCGACGTTCGAATCTGTTGATCGTAAGGTTCTGTGGTAGTGTCCATCATTAAAAGGTGTCTCAAAGAAGTACATTAACCTTATACAAGCTCTTTACACGAACACCACAGGTCAAGTGAGAGCTTATGGTGAACTGTCATCGGAATCGATCACGTCAAGTGGTGTCCGTCAAGGACGTACACTGTATCCGTTCTTGTTCAGTTTTGTCATAGACATGCTTTTAGAGTTACCATTATCATCGTCTGAATTTTCAGGAGTAGACTTTTGACCAGGAGATTTATTGGTTAACTTAGAATATTCCGATGACATAATTCTTTTCGGTGAAGACGCTGACAAAATGGACCGTTTTCTGACTACCCTAAGCAACAATGCAAGCATGTTCGGGATGCGATTATCCCCGTCGAAATGTGAAATATTGCTCCAGGTTTGGCTTGCATTGGCACCTGAACTAGTGATAGGGAGTGAAGGAGTCGAACTTGTAGACCGCTTCACTTACCTCGGAAGTCTCATCAGTGCTAACGGACTGGTGACTGACGGAATCTTAACGCGGATGCAGAAGGCTCGATTGGCTTTTGCCAAGTTGGGTCACTTATGGCGTAGGCGAGATATCCGTTTGCTGACTAAAGAACGAGTGTACTGTGAAGTAGTTGAAACTGCAGCAGTTGAAGTGGTTGGGTTGTGTTAGGTGTGACTAACCACCAACTGTTTAAGTTTATTTAACTATGTTCTACTTCTTGAATAATATCGTCGAACCCTATTCTCTCCAGTTACTGCTCATATTTTTACTACCTCTACTAGTATGGGATTTCAATCGAAAGTTGCGTCTCTGTGGTGATGTGGTATGGTAACTGGAACTGATGTATGTACGTACGAAGTTCGACGTTGCTGTTGATGTTGAAAAAGACCACCATCGGAAGGCCGTTTCGTTCTTCTATATGGGGACCACTTATCCTCAATGCGCATCCGCCAACCCCGCTTGTGGGAATCGAAACTAGGTCTCTCGGTCTTGCGCGTGGACGGTTAACCTCTAGGCCACTGAGCCGAACTGCGGCCAACGGTTTTATAATGTCTAACTGAAATCAATCCCTTTTATGGCACAAAAAACAGAAGCATCAAGTCGTTAGAACGGCATTGATAATTATCTTGGAGCAGTATCAGATGACTTTGGTTGAATTTGTGAACGTTTGTGTTTATCATTTCACTGATCTAAAGATATTTCGTCGATTATCAAGAAACACAGTTGTAAAGACATGTGATCTGTCATCAATTTGTTTGGAATTCGATTACAAAATGACTTATTTGAGCGAGAAGGCTAGCGTGGAAGAGAAAGTCTAGTTGGGGCTACTGAATCATATACATAAATGCTCATTCTCAACCAACCAATGATATGCATCCGTCGTTTAGGACATTTTTGATGGTCATCAAATGCCTTTCTCATTCGGTCGCTTCTGATTGACTCACCATATCAGTGCTTGAACAATAATTGAAACTGTAAGCTTGGATTTTACTACAAAGTACTGTATTAATATAATATAAGCAAAACCAAGTGTGCTTAAACAATCCTAATAAAGCCTTCAAAACGTTTGGGTCTACTGCACGGATGGCTTTTGCCAACCTGAGTCACCCATGGCGTAGAGGAGATTTCCGTTTGCTAACCAAAGGACGAGTATACTACTCAGTAGTTCACTCCGTCCTACTTTAGGGCTGCAAAACATGGCCATTTAGATTAGAAGACATTCATAGGTTGCTCGTTCTCGATCATAGGTATCTCCGAAGAATTGATCGTGTATCATGGAACAACCGAGTAAGCAATATTGTTGTTAGGAAACGTTTACTAGCTAAGGATGACAGATTAACAGATGAAGTAGTGACACTGCTTCATTTGAGGTGGTTGGAACATGCCTTACGAATGTCCAACCACCGGCTACCTCGTCGAGTTATGTTTTGCTGTGTAGTAGCGGGTTGGAAAAACCCTAGGTCTGACCAAGCCAAAAAAGAAACCCATGAAGTCAATGACAAGTGGACTGAGTCATGCTGGTAAGTGTAGACTGTCTGATTTGGGTCTGCGAGATGACAGTAACCGATAGTTATAGACTTCGAATGACATGGCTCGAAATCGTTTGCACAGGCGCTGGTGCTTTCATTAATTGTGTTCTCTCAAATCCTAACCTTCGGAATTTCTCAATACGTTTATGTTTTTCGTCCTAAATTTTTCTCACTGAATTATACTTCTTGAATAATATCTTCGATCCATAAGCTCTCCGATTTCTGCTACTACCTCTACTACTACTATGGGATTTGAATTGATAAATACACCTCTGTACTAATGTGGTATGGCAACTTGAACTGATGTACGTACGTACCTGAGAAGTTCTACGTCTCTATTGATTGATTGATTGATTGATTCAGGTCTAGTGGTGAGAGAGCTACTTTTAAAACACTAGTTCATATCACCATCATACCAAGGGGTTTAGAGAGTGTCATCACATCTAAGACAATAGGCGGTAATCCATATTGTGATGTACTGAAGAAATGACTAGAGTAAAGGCAACACAATCGTCAACAGATTAACAAGATTTTGATAGTTTGATCACGGACGGAATCGTTAGATTACTTAATAAAGTTATCAGAAATAAATTCAAAAAATTGAACATATACGCATACAGACCTGTTTTTCTTCAAATAAATCGGTGATCCTGACCGAGATGTCTTAGTGGAAGGAGAGGCTGGAAAAAAGAAGCACGTAACAGAATCTTAAAACGCAGTGATTACAATCAATTCTAATTGGTTCTTACAGTTTTTAAGAGTTCGAAAGATGATCATTGACGATTGACTTATAAATCATGTGACACAAGACAAAATACCAATCAGGATACAATCGATTACACGCTGATAACCTCTTTAGTCAGTAGCTAGATACTTTCTGATTGGTCCAAAACTCTCTCCTACCACAACTGGGCTAGTGATAAGGTTCGTCAAGTGATATGATTGAAATTATTATGAGTTGACCTTAGTCGGTAAACGAGAGCTAAGACTGGATGATCCATTGACACGATAGGCTACTCTAATCAGAGTGTCCCAAAACCCCACAACGTACAGGAATAAGCCTTGATATGGTGTAGTGAGTGTATTCTACAAGCACCCAGAAAATATGAGGTTTTTTACAGAAGAAGAAGGATCATAAAACTTTGCAGATAATGCATATTTATATAGTTAGATCGACCGTGAATACTAACCAATAGGAAAGAAGTATGTGAACTTGATACTTAGAATTACCTTAAATATTGACCAATGGAAATTGACCAATAGAGTTACATACATACACACTTACATCTGTTATCCCCAATGGTGCATAAGACGTCCACCAGTTTTCTCAAACCAACTCTGTCCTGAGATTCTCTTTCTAGTTATTTCCAGTTTTTGTTCATTCTTCTTATGTCTTTCTCTATTTCTCGGCGTAATGTGTTCTTTGGCCTTCCCCTTTTCCTTTTGTTTTGAGAGTTCCAGGTGAGGGATTGTCTTGTGACGCAGTTTGGTGCTTTTCGTGGTGTGTATCTTATCCACTTCCACTACTTCTTCCTGATTTCCTCCTTCACTAAAATCTGGTTTGTTTTCTTCCACAGCAGGTTGTTGCTGATGGTGTCTGGCCAACGAATACGAAGTATTATGCGTAGAAAACAGTTAATTAACACTTGTATCTTCTGGATGATGGCTTTCGTAGTTCTCCAAGTTTCCACTCCATACAGCAGAACTGTCTTGACATTTGTATTGAAAATCCTGATTTTGGTTTCGGTTGAAATTTGTTTGGAGTTCCAGATATTTTTCAATTGTAGAAATGCTGTACATGCTTTTCCGATCCCCGCCCTCACATCTGCATGGGATCCACCTTTCTCGTCGATGATGCTGCCAAGATATGTGTAAAGGTATTAACGTCCTCCAAGGCATCTCCATCAGGATGGATTTGGTTGGTGCATGTTGTGTTGTAATGTAGAATCTTGCTTTTCCATTTATGTATGTTGAGACCTACTACTGCTGAGGCTGCTGCTACACTAGTCGTCTTTTCTTGCATCTATTATTGCATTTGCAATAGAAAAGCCAGGTAATCTGCGAAATTCAAATCCTCCAGCTGCGTCATAGCTGTCCATTGAATACTGTGCTTGCCTCTAGATGTTGACGTCTTCATAACTCAGTCAATCATCAGGAGAAAGAGTAAGGGTGAGAGTAAGCGACCTTGCCTGACACCGGTTTTCACCTCAAACGAGTTTGTCAGCCGACCTTCGTGTACGATTTTTCAGTTTGATCTATCGTAAGAATTCCTTATGACGTTGACTATTTTTTCAGGCACGTAAGACTTGACGTCAAGTTATACTTACAAAATAATTTCTTTACGATATTTGATGAATATCCTAACATACAGGTATATTTGACCATTACAGTACTAATTAAGAAAGAGTCCTTTACGAAACACAATACAAACAAAATTAGGATAACAGTTATGAAACGAGCAGTTCAACGCTAATGCATACCTCCTACAATGACTACGATAATAGTAAAGTTAGCTAGCCGCCTTATTGATGTGTTTTGTGCATTAGTGAACATAAGTTCATGAGAGAATTTAAAGAGTTTTTTGTGAGTATTTCAATAGTGTCGTAGCACAGAATCATAGATTGATTCAAGTTAGACAATGAAAACTACTGGATGTCTGCTCAAACATTCACATACAAGAGTTAAGTTCTCGGGTTCGATTCCCATCTGAGAAGTCGTCTCAATCTAGGATTGAAACGACCTTCAAGTACTTACAACTGTCTAATATTGGTCTAACACAGTGATTAGTTCATAACTTCAATGAAATTCAACTTCCCCTGAACCAATCACATCCATCAACTATTCATTGAAACAAAATTATCAATAATAATAATAATTTACGGTAAACTTACAAGGTTTCACAGGATAACTACGTTTTTGTAATAACTCATTACCATCAACTTTGTCTTGTTCAACATTCTTATCACGGTCACCATCAACGCAATCATTAGGAATAATATTTTCTATAGAATACGTGAATTCACGTAATCGATTAGCTAAATAACTTAAAATTTGCATACGTCCATTGAAAGTTTCTTTTTCCATTTCATTTAAAGCATGATAGGGTGTTTTCGCGATACGTGTATCTTTTGCGTAATCCATATAAGTGAAATCGATGACATTCCCTTTAAAATATATATATATATACATACTTTGTAAGAGAATATTCGAGAAGTATTCAAGATAAATGATTTACATATTATTGAATATAGAAACTATCTTTAAATTTTGCGCGAAATTCAAAATCCAGTGAATTGCATAGTTGTTGAATTTTGAATTAATGAAAGGACTATCTAGTTAAACAGTTATAAATGCATTAATAAAGTATTAAGAATACAGCTACTTTACTGAGATCAGTTATGTGGTCTTTCATTCAATGTCTCTGTTAGTGAGACATAGTAGAAATTAAAGCATGACTACGTTGCTGCGCGCTGATTGGCTAAATTCCTATCCAATCAGCGCGCCTGATCGGTTCTTGGACAACAGGGTAGAAAATTCTCGTATTGTTAGCTTCACGCTGATTGGCTAAATCTAATGCAGTCGATCACGTAAATTACCATCTAGAAGCTTCTCATGTAAATGCATAAAGAGTCTAACGTTGTACCTATTTATGCTTTCGCCTTCGGCTTCTTATTTCCATCTAAGCTTGCTATTTGGAAATATTGTAGTGCCTCCACATATATTTCAGTTCTCTCACATCTAACTTGGTTAATCCCTTTCGATTAATTTATTTAACCAAGCCATTCGCTTAGCAACAACTCATATGTACCATTGTTTTTTTTTATTATCTGTTTTGTATGAGCTTGTAAGACTGAGCATTGCTTACGCTTACGCACTTACTCATCCTTTTCGCTTTAATGTTAATCTCTTAATTTCCCCATGAACTCACATGATTTGTATCGCTTGCTTTTGACCTTGTCAATCACTCGTCGCTTTTATTCATGTGTGTGCATACCTATTTCGCTTGTCATATGCCTGTCTTATTCTTCGTCTGACTATATATTCTTAGTCATACTCTATCTCTTTGAGTTGGCTCACTAGCCTTCTCCACGTCGCTTCTTCAATTCGCTATGTGGTGTGCCTCGAATAAACGTATACGATACTTGGAATTCATCTTCTGATTTATTACCCGTCAGACGTCATTTGGGATAAGACAATATGAACGAGCTTATTACGAAACGTAAGAACACGCAGTAAATCGGCACACCTCAATATAATCTTTTGCTGTTCCACCGTGTTTTTTATTCTTTGGAACTTGTCCAGTGTATTGTGGTCAGAGAATACTAAGCATTAGGAATTAGCTGCGAAATATCTAAGCAAGCGTTATAACAGTCTCCTAACCGATGATGAAAACGTATTTGTCGAAAGCGTCAATCGGGATGTTTCTACCTGAGGATGCGGTCTAGACGAGTATAATCAATGACCTAGATGGATTTATAAATGTTTTGATCCGGTTATCATGTGTTTAGTGAAGATTGGTTGTTAGATCACCATTAGTAATCCGGAAGCAGTGGATGACCTTCAAGTGCTAGTAAAGAACTCATCAGAAGTGTGCATTCACGACTCCCGCCTGCGGTAATCGAAGCCAAGATCATCGGTCCGGCGCGCTAGAGCGAGTGGTTACGCAGGGCTACCAACTGATCGAAGTTAGACCCTAACACAGTTGGATGCCAGCCCAGTGGTCAAGAAGTTAAGCATTCCGTTGAGAGGCTGAAGGACTTTGGTTGGCAATTGTTTTCAAGGTCACTTTAGTGTAGCTCAAAGTTAGTCTAAAAATAATGGTCTCGTCGAGTATAATTATTTGGAATTCGTAAATGAACAGTTAGAGAAGAAGACTAAACGATTCACGAACAAAAATAGATAATCAATGTAAGTGATACCTGTTAACTCCTCGATGGAGCATAGACTGCCAACTAGCCTGCCCTAGTCTTCTCTTTCTAGCTCTTTTCAACTGTTGTCCATTTGCTTGGGATGTTAGATCCCTAGAACTCGCTTGATAAATGCCTTATTTTGGATTTCATGTTTGCAAGCATGAGCTGATCGGTTGACTTTGAGATTTCATTTCCCACCAGGAAAATCCATGGCTGTGATTGGCTGCTGTGTATTTCAGTGTGCTATTTTCTTAACTGTCCCAAGGACGTTTCTATGATGTATAAATAAACGAGAGTTGTATGCTTGATTGTACTGTGATTGCTGGGTGTTTGTAGAATATACTTTCTACGCTTATCAAGACTTCTGTTTTGCAGTTCGGGATTCAAGGTAGCCTACCTGGACGCTGGTAATTGTCTCGTTCGCGTTTATCGACTAAGGTAAACTCGTAATAGCGTCAAGCATACTTAGTGACGAGAGTAAGAGCATTCTTCTCGTGTCTGTCTACACTTCACGGACAAATATGTAATTTTGGTCTTCCTGTTTTCCTAAGGCCTTGAGGATTTCAAGTAGAGCTTGTCTCGTGAAGCAACCTACTTCCAGCGCTTCTTCCTGATATCTTCGACTGCTGGTAGCTAATTTGTTCTCTTCCATAGTAAGTTGTTCCTCATAGGGTCTGGCCAACGAATCTGAAATATTTTTCATCGACACCTGCTAATAAATACTTATGTCTTCTGGATGATGACCTTAGTTATTCTCCTAGCTTCGGCCCGATACTGTAGAATTGTCTTGACATTCTTGATAGTTACTTTGAGTTTCAGATGTTGTTCAATTGTAGAAATGCAGCCCTTGTTTTGCCGATCCGCAACTTCAGCACTTACACCCAGTGTAAATGATAGATAATATTTTTGTCTACACAATGATAAGTCTGTCATCAATAAGTCCGGTGTAGAAATCAATTACGGGAAAGGAAATCACATATTCAGCTGTCATTACACCACGTTCCTGTTTCTCCACAACTCCAATAACCAATCACATTTCACTTTCAATAATCACATATCAGTGGATGATGACTAATTTTTAGTACATATATAGTGAAGGAGAACACAGGTGGGGCAACCGAATTGTATTTAACGAAAATTACAGAGTTACTCAGTAACATAGGAAAACCATATCGTAACCGGTTAATTTGCAAATCTTCAATCAATCATCAATCCATTGTCTGACATTTCACTATTCATGCGTTTCATACAAATTCCATTGTGTTCCAACTCTTCCTTTCTTGATCTTCCCCCATCTTCTGCTGCCAGACATTACGTTTACACTCGCGTCATATACTACTTATAAGTAGCACGCACCACACAAAGATTGTTTACAGTTTAACAAATAAAGTATCACGAAGTCATCATAATAGAAACACAAAAACCACTTGAACCTACCGTAAATTCCTTTAGATTTTGATAAAACAAGCGGTTTAAAACAATCTATGCCACCTTTATGAATTAAACGTTTAATTAATTCTAAACGTGATTCAATTGACCGCCTAAATTCAAATAAACTTGAACATGCAACACATAGGGCTGAACCTAAACCATCACCTAATTGTTGATTAATATTTGTACTTTGATGATTGATCAACACATTGATACACTAAAAATGATTGGATCATGAGAGAAAAAAAAATCAATAAAAGAAATTTGCAAATCAGAGTTCTTTTTATGTACAAAAATAAAACAAAACTGTCAATTTATTTAACTATGAAATTAAAAAAATTTATTACTTAACGGACGAGAACAGTTTTTCACTCAGTCAGTTACAACGTAGAACTTTGTAGGCATGTTAGCACATCAGTTCCGGTTGACATGCCACATTAACACAGAGACATAACTGTCAGTTCAAATCCCATAGTGGTAGAGAGATTAGAAGCATTAGCGGTAACAGAGAAGATTAGGGTTCGAAGCAATTGTTCATGAAGTATTATACAGTGAAATTAATTTAGAAAGAGAAAGATAAATGTGATGAGGAATTCAGAAGATTAGCACATAAGAGACTACAAAGAGGCGATGCACCTGCGCCATTCCAGACGATTTTGAGCCATGTCATTCAAGGTCTTTAACCATCGATCACTATTGTCTCGTGGACCCCAGCCAGATAGTTTGCATCTACCATCCATTTGTCAGTGACTTCATGGATTTGTGTTCTGGTTTGGCCAATCCTAGGTTTCTTCCAACCTACTCCTTCACAGGAAAACATAGCTCAATGAGGCAGTTCCTGGTTGGGCATACCTAATATATGTCCCAGACACCTCCATTGATGAAGTTACACTAGTTCATTTATTGATCTGCTATCCTTACCTTGTACTCGTTTCCCGACTATCGTGTAGCTGATTCGTCTGTCTCAGGATAAACGAGAAATGCTTCGAAGACATCTGTAATCAAATACTAATAGCCTACGAATATCTTCTAATCTAAATGGCCATGTTTTGCAGCTACAGAGCTGGACGGAGCAAACTGCTGCGTAGTATACTCGTCCTTTAGTCAGCAAACGGATACCTCACCTACACCATAGGTAACGCAACTTGGCAAAAGCCAATCGAGCTTTCTGTATCCGTGCTGAGATTTCGTCAGCCAACAGACCACTCCTGAAGTGTCGGACGATGATAATTTAAACTCTAAAAGAATATCTACGATCAAATTAAACAAGAATGGAAAGAGTGCTCCTAACCAAAGACATCAGTATAATGATACAATAGTCTAAAACAGAGTTACATCCCGGATCACTAAATATTCATCACCAGCAAGCATCCAGGACTTCACAAGTAGAAAGTGAACCCAAGAGCTTCTTTTTGGTACACGAACGCTCAATCTATTGATCACCTAGATCGAAAGTCCTGGATTTGACTTCGTTGAGCGAAGTCGTTGATGCGCGCTGTTGATGAATAGTCAAATACTAGGGTGAAACATCCTTTCAGTGCTTCCATTTACAATCTAACATTAATCAGCACATCATTTCAATGATAACCAAAATATCAGATAATAAACAGTTACAAAAAAACTTACAGGATCATTCCCAGTTGCTATGGCAACACTCAGTGCAGAATGACCATTACACAATAAATTTGGATTTGCATTATACTTTAATAAGTATTTAGCAATGGTAGCGGAATTCTAAATTGAACACAAGAAAAAGAAAGTGACAACAGTCAAAATAAAAATTGATACCACAATGATACTCACTAGGTCAAGGTCATTTACATTGACAGTCTGACAAATCAGTGCTTCCAGGTTTCTGATGGTGGTCTAACGTTGACTGATTCTTGATTTCAAATATGTAATTTGACAATCTTCACAACCTCGTAACGCAGTTACATGTGCTCACTAGTGATTAGCTCTGTGAGGAATCTTCTCCGAGTTCTAGTGAGAAGTTGTGAATAGTGAAGTTCAACCTGTTCGGGTGTAGACAGTAACTACCTAAGACAGGGTATGAGGTTTGCACGACTTCGTTACTTGACCGAAGTTAGACATTAACACCGTTAGATACTGTCTGTGTGGTCCAGACGTTAGGTGTTCGCGCACAGTGCCAAAGATCCTGGGTCCGAGTCCTGCAAGGTGCAGGAGTCATGGATGCGCACTGCCGATGAATCCCATACCAGGACGAAACGTCCTTCCAGTGCTTCCAAGTTTCTAATGTAGTGGTCTAACTTTGATCGACTCACGATTTCAAATGTGTCACTTAACAATCTTCACAACCCCGTAGCGCAAATCAGTTAACATTACTGTGTTTCATTTCAGTTATGAATTATTTTTAGAAAAAAATCCACTTAATTACGGCCTCATATGCAAGATTGAATCTAGTATTTTCATTCAGATTAGAGAATTCGAGGATAAATTCATGTTCCTAATTTCAATTCAGTAGTATTTTGTATTCTATTTCTTATGGAAATCATGAGTTGATCATTGTTAGACCATTGTTCAAAACCTGTAAGCACTGAACTGCCGTCCTGTCCCCGAAATGGGACTCACCAACAATGCGCATCCATGACCCCCAAGGGCGGTAAATCGAACCTCGGATTTTTGATCTCATAATGATGAGTTGATAATTTTTAATAGAAATTATCAATCAACAACTCTATAGTGATAACTATTAGACGGACGTACTCATTAGGGACTAGCTTCGTGAGGAAATTTTTCTCAAGTTCTAGTGAAAAGCTGTGGCTTGTGGAGTTCGACGTTGATAAGTGTGAGGCAGTAGTTACCTACCGAAAAACAATGGATGAAGTTGTGAAATACTTTGGATTGACTGAAGTTAGACATTAACAGAGTTTTATGCCGCCACAGTGGTCTAAGCGTTTATGCTCGAGGCCGAGGGTCCTGGCCTTGATTCCTGCTAGCAGAGGTCGTGGATAAGCATTGCTGTCGAGCCTTATACAAGGAAGAAACGGTGATCCAGGTCTAACAGTGATCGATTCATGATTTCAACAGTCTTCAGTTTTATTCTATTTTTCGTTTAAATGAAGCGCCGTTGATCATATTTTCCTAATCAATTTTAAAACTCCATCGCTCGAACGTACATTCAGTTCTGATGAAGATTATTCTTAAGATATCAGTTTCTAGAATTATTTTTATTATGAACTGATATTAGTTGAATAAAAAGTTTTTCAAAATTGAACTTTTAATCATAAATGTAGCGGCAACCTCTACTGTAGTGGGTGTCAAGATACACAAGTGTAAAAGCAAGATACTTCAGATACGACACAACAAGAACCAACCAAATTACATATGACAGAGAAGCTTGGAAAGATGTGGAAACGCTTATGTACTTGGGCAGCATCATTGATAAACAGAGTGGATCTACTGCAGATGTAAAGACGCGAATTAGCAAAGCAAGGGCAGATTGTCTACAATGGCAGGATATCTGGAACTCAAAACAACCATCGACCTACACGAAAGTCACAATTTCCCGTGGAAATATCAAAACAGTTCTGTTTTATGAAGCTGATATTTGGAGAGCTACAGAAGCCATCAACCAAAAGATACATGTATTTATAAACAGTTGTCTACGCAATAAACTCCTCAACCATTTGCCAGACACCATCTGCTGTAGGTCGTAGGACACAGATTGTGGAAATCACCGTGCTGTGGCGTTACAAGGCCAGTCCCTGAACTGTATGTCAGTTAGTCAATTAACTACAACGTAGAAAATCGTACGTACGTACATACATCAATTCAAGTTCCCATACCACATTAGAACAGAAATGCAATTGTCAATCCGAATCCCATTGTGTTAGAGGTAGTAGAAGTATGAGCAGTAATCAGAAAGATTACGCTCCGAAGATATTATTACACAAGTATAATCTAGCGAAATAAATTCACTCTCAGACTTTGAGTTGCTGCTTTTAGTCTTACTGTTCTCCAATCGACCTGATTGGCATGGTAGGACCTAAAGGGAGATATGTTCTAACCTATACAGGTCGGCTGGGTCATTACGATAGACAAGGCGGATCACCACGTTAGGGAAGTAGTAGTAGCTATGGCCAGGGTTAGTCGGATGTTGAGAAATTCGAATACTTCACTTCTTTTACTCAATATATGGACATAATGTCATGTCCTGTTTCAAGGTTTGATAATAAGTGAGAAATTACAAACAACACAAATTGATTATACTCCTAGTCAAGGTTATAACCTTCATGTCAAGGCCTTAGTTAAAAGGACAAACTTAAAAATGCCAACTGAAGCGCATTTTTTGCCGATCATAGATTCTTAATACTACCTCAAGCTCCTCAAACGTGGTTTTACTCGGTGTAAACTAATATGCCTCTAAGAGTTGTAAGGAGATCAGTTTTTTAGATGGGACGTTCAAAGAAGTCACAAACGGCTTCACTCGACATTCTTATGGCATCATGCAATTACAGGCAGTGCTTATCCATACGTTTCGGTGTGCAAATAGCCAACCTTAAACTTAGATCAGTTTAGTATTTATTTGTAACAACCAAACCTGAACATAGCACAAATACCTTGTACAAGCTCTCTACTCGAACACCACTGGTCGAGTGAGAGCTTATGGCGAACTGTCACCGGAATTCTTGACTTCAAGTGGTGTCCGTCAGGGCTGTCCACTTTCTCCATTCTTGTTTAATTTTATCATAGACATGCTTGTAGATATAACATTATCTTCGTCCAACTTTTCAGGAGTCGATTTTCTACCAGGAAAATTTGCTTACTGACCTAGAATATGCCGATGACATAGTTCTATTTGGTGAAGACGCTGACAAAATGTAGAGTCTTCTGACTACCTTAAGCAACAATGCAAGCATGTTCGGGATGCGGTTTTCCTCCTCGAAATGCAAAATGTTGCTTCAAGATTGGGTTGCATCGACACCTAAACTAGTGGTAGGGAGTTAAATAGTCGAACTTGTAGACCGCTTCACTTATCTGGAGAGTCTCATCGGTGCTGATGGCCTGTTGACTGACGAAATCTCAGCACGGATACAGAGTGCTCGATTGGCTTTTGCCAACCTGCGTCACTTATGGCTCAGGCGAGATATCCGTTCGCTAACGAAAGGACGAGTGTAATGTGCTGCAGTTCGCTCCGTCCTACTGTACGGATACGAAACTTGGCCGTTAAGGGTAGAGGACTTTCGTCGGTTACAAGTCTTCGATCATCGAAGCATTGCTCGTATATCCTGGGACAACCGAGTGAGCCATGCTGTCGTTAGGAAATGAGTTCTAGTTAGGGATGGCGAATCAGTAGATGAAGTAGTGAAACTTTATCAGTTGAGATGGTTGGGACATGTGTTACGTATGGCTAACCACCGACTGCCGCGACGAGCTATGTTTTGCAGTGTAGGAGTAGATTGGAAGAAAGCTAGGAGCGGACAAACCAAAACATAGCACAAATCCATGAAGTCACTGACGAGTGAAATGAGTCATGTTGGTAGGTGTCGACTACCTATTTGGGGCCCATGAGACAATAGTAGTGGATGGTTAGAGACCTTGAATTACTTGCCTCAAAACCGTTTGCAATGGCTCAGGTGAGTTCATTCATTGTGTTCTAATCTTCTGAATTCCTCATCATTTTTGTCTTTCTCTTTCTAAAGTTGCCTCACTGAATTATACTTCTCGATTTATATCTTCGCTCCCTAATCTTCTCCATTACCAGTAATACTTCTACCCTCTCTACCACTATGGGATTTGAATTGACAATTGCTTCTCTGTGCTGATACGGTATGGCAACCTTAACTTATGTACTCATGTGTGAAGTTCTACGTTGTAACTGATTGACTGACTGACTGACTGACTGTAACAACCAAGTTACTACTAATAATAGTAATCCATTTAAGGTGATGAGTTTGCTGGTCAATGAAGCGTAAGGCATCATCCAAGTTCAAACAAGTACTCGCAAATGTGGCGACACTCTTGTACAAAATAATCAATAATCATATTATCAATGATAATCATGTGATTTACCAGTTGGTCATATTCACGTGAACAAACTAAATGTAACGGTGTTCGACCTTCACCATTTTTTGGATTTTCTTCTGCAGTTGTTATTTTGTCCGCATTCAACTCCTTGAATATAATTATTTAAAAAATAGAAAAACAATAGAACAGATTAAACTTTCTCAATGAGTTTAATTGCACACACACACACTGTGAAAAGAAGAATTTGTATCGGATGGAAATTTCTTCGCCTGGATGTAGCTGTCAAAGTTCAGTTTTTTTGAGATTCGAATTCAGGACCGTTTTGGTTTAAACGTCTTTGCACCATCCAATTGGTTGACGGTGATGGCTAGTTGCATTCCAACTATTCTATGTAGAAACCTGTCACAATGGTTATATCAAAATAATCCGCATAGGACGTCCAAAAAACGTATCAATAATGGGATAATTAAAATCATAGGTGTGATGTCCATCTGCTAACGGAAGGATGAGTTTAATCCGCTATACTTGTGTGAAACATGGCCATTGAGAATAGAGGATATTCGTAGGTTACTAGAAACATCGCTCGTATATCCTGGGACAACCGAATGAGCAATGCCGGTGCTAGACGATGAATACTAGGTAAGAATCGCAAACCAACTGATGAGGAAGTGAATCTTCATCAGTTTAGGTGGCTGGGACATGTGTTACTTATGCCTAACCACCAACTACCTCGACGAACACTGTTGCAATGCACAAATTCATGAAATTGTTGACTAATGGACTGAGTCATGTTAGTAAGTGTAGATTACCAGGTTGGCTTCGGCGGGACAATCGTAACCGATGGTTAGAGACGTTGAATAACTTGGCTCGAAACCGTTTTCAGTGGTGAAGATGCATCCATTTTTTGACTTTTCCCGAATTCTAATCTTTTAAAATTCTCATGACCTGTTTTCTCTTTTGAAATTTACTTTACTGAATTTTATACTTCTCAAGTAACTTCTTCAAACCTTAATCTACTCGATTACTGCTCTAATACTTGCACGACCTCTTCTATTACTGTGGTATTGGAACTGACAATTTGATCTCTGTTTTTGCTAATGTGGTATTACAGCCTGAACTGATATATGTAAGTACCAATTTCTAGTTGTGTGCTGGCTGGGTGTTTTTAAAATTCATATTGTCAGGTAGGATTTTCTATTATGAATGCCTTTTTTTCTGAACATTTCACAAGATCATTTTTCCAACATAAACTGATATAAAAATTGATATCAAGAAGTATTGATATGGCGTAGTAAGTGTATTATTCTACAAGCAACCAGAAAATACGAGGTTTTCAAACATACAAATGGAGTTTATTTATACATCATAGAAATGTCCTTGAGAGAGTCACAAAAATCGCGTGCTAAAATAACACATCAACCCACGGCAGTCAAGGAGTTCCCTAGTGAGAAATGTAATCTGAAGGTCAACTGAACAGTCCGTACGCGAAAACACAAAAATCCAAAATTAGCCCCTTTTTCAAGTGAGTTCTGGGGATCTAATGTCCCCAACATATTCTTAATTTGAAAATTACTATATCATGAGTCTACGAGTGAACATCATCAGCGGTATGATATGACAATTACATCCAACTAAACAACAGTACCACGTAGCACGAAACATGCATCACCGAAATAAATTTATATTTACCTAATTCAACTACTTAAAACTTGAGATTTAAGTAGACACATATAATATATCATAAATTTTTTGTACATACATTTGAATTTTCCGACATTACACTAGTAGTAGTAGTAGTAGTAGTAGTAGTACCAGTTGTTATATCAAACTGATTTTTCAATTTAAAACTATCATCTAATGTAGCCTGTTGATTTGGATTCGCATGACCATCCTCCAGTAGAATTTCGGTTAATTGTATACCCATTTCATTTGGAACTAGTACAGCATAGTGTAATACTGTTAGACCATCTAAACTTGGCATCAGCGGTGGTTCATCTTCACTGATATAAATTTTATTCAATGCTGAATCATTTGAAGATTTTGACAAAGTCTAATGATCAGAGGAGGAAAAAGAAACAAAAGATATTAGATTTCAGATAACAATTTCATGAAAAATCTTGGACCAAATCTTAGACCACTAATGGAAACTTGACTGTCGACCTAACGGTCTAGAGGTAAGGCAATCGCAAGCGATCCTGAAGATCCTGGGTTCGATTACCGTGTGCTGGAAGATGGGTTGTCGACGCCCACTGCCATAATAGGACAAAAGGGCTGATTAGCACTTCCTAGTATTTTTTTTCTGGTGGCCTCACTTATTGGGGATGTTAGATCCCCAGAACTCGTTGGATAAATGCCTTATTTTGGATTTAACGTTTCCGAGCATGGGCTGATCAGTTGACCTTGAGATTTCACTTCCCACCAGGAAAATCCATGGCTGTGATTAGCCGCTGTGTATTTTAGTGTGTTATTTTCGTAACTGTCCCAAGGACGTTTCTATGATGTATAAATAAACGAGAGATGTGTGCTTGATTGTATTGTGATTGCTGGGTGTTTGTAGAATATATTTTCTACGCTTACCAACTCTTCTGTTTTGCAGTTTAAGATTCAAGGTAGCCTATCTGGACGCTGGTAATTGTCTCGTTCGCGTTTATCGACTAAGGTGAACTCGTAATAGCTTCACGCGTACCAAGTGACAAACAACACACTTTGATCAGTTCATGAGTTCAATGAAATTCCACAATCTCCACAAATCCTCTTGATTAATAACTTGTCTACTATTCATTGGTTCGTGTTTATTCTGAAACTAACATTAATTACAGGGTATAAGAGGTTTGTGAAGATAATATGCTCGTCAGTTGATATGCTTGGTAACGTGAGCGAAGACAAATGATCCAGTGACACGATAGGCTATTCTAATCCGTTTGTCTCCGACCCGGCTAACTACATCAATCAATCTTGATAAGGCGTAGAGAGGGAGTATTCTACAAGCAACCAGAAATATGATCTTGACAAGCATACAAATCGACCTTACTTATACATTATAGAAACGTCCTTGGGAGAGCCACGAAAATAGCGTACTAAAATAATACATCAAACAATGAAAGCCAAGGATTTTCGGTGTGGGAAATGTAATCTCAGGGTCAACATGATCAGCTCATGCAAGAAAGCATACAAGCCAAAATCAGAACTTTTTTTAAGTGAGTTCTGGGGATCTAACATCCTCAACATAGGCAGTAACTACCGAAGACAAATGGGTGAGGTGGGGCAATATCCCTAGATCAATCAGAGTTTGACATTAACACCACTGAATGCCGGCTCAGTGGTCCAATGGTTAGATGTTCGCGCACAATACTGAAGGTCCCTGGTTCGAATCCTGCGAGGTGCAGGAGTCGTGGATGCGCACTGCTGTTGGGTTCCATACCAGGACGAAACGGCCATCCAGCACTTCCAGGTTTCTAATGGATTGGTCCAACATTGATTGATTGATGATTTCAAATGTGTAAATTTAATAGTTGAAATTACTGTTTGATATTCGCTAAATGATCATTGAAAATCGAATAGTCGTTTCACCCTAATGTGAGTCCATCTAACCACGAAGGTTCGAAACCACGATAAGAGCTTAACCTGTGATTTGCCGTCAAATAAACGTTTTACAGTTCTAACTATCACCAATCAACAATATTGTCCAAAGATCTTCTTACTTATTAATAAATAACTGTATCATACCCAGTACATGATCAAACCTAACTGGTTAAAACTTCTTATCAGAACTTCTGGGAAAATTACGTCTCAAATCTAAACACACTAATAAGAGATGCGTGGAAGCTGTTAAACGTCTAATTTTCAAACAAAAAATCTACCCATTCAATAATGAAGAATTTGCATGAAATCATTATTTTTTTCACAAAAAAGGAATAAACCAATCCATTCTCTTACATCAACACGTAAACAAATATTTGCATCAGCACCAGATTGAATTAATTTACGAACCATTTCAGGATCACCAGCTTGGACAGCTAAAAATAATGCTGGTAATGGTCGTATACCAGTATTGGGATTGGCACCACGTTTCAGTAATAAATCAATGACATTCATCATTTGTGTTTGTCTAAATTAAATCAGAAAAGAGAAAATGGTAACTGATTAGATTGTTATTTCCTAATATTAATCAGTAGTATTCAGAGATAGCTGAACGATCTAGGCTTTGCAGATATGATCTGGCTATTATTCTGTCGCACATGCAATAACCAGTGCAAGAGAAGGTTATCAGTGTAACAGCAGCTTCAGCGTCGGTAGGTGGTCTCAACATGGACAAACGGAAAAGCAAGATTCTCCGAAACTATACAACATGTACCATTCAAATCATATTTTTTGGAGAAGCTGCGGAAGATTTAAAAACGTATAAATATGTGGGTAGCACCATTAATCAGCAAGGTGCATTCAATGCAGACATGAAGGCAGGGATCGAGAAAGCAAGGTTAGCAGTTGGAGAACATTTGGAACTAAAAACAACTACCAACCAACACCAAAGTCAGAATTTTCAATAAAAATGTCAAGATAGTTCTACTGTATAGAGCGGAAGATACAGGTATTTATTAAGGTTTGTTTATGAAAAAATATTTCGGAATCGTTGACCAGAAACCATCAGCAACAATCGACTGTGGCAAAGAACAAACCAGATTCCAGCGGAGGAGGAAATCAAGAAGACATGGTGGAAGTGAATATGACACACAATGCGAAAAGCACCTAACTGCCTCACAAGACAAACCCCCACTCAGAATCCTCATGGTCAAAGAGAATGGAGAAGAATAAACAACAGTTGGATAGAATTAGAAAGGATGGAGTAGGCTGAACAATGTTAGTCAACGGCCAATGCTGCATTGAGGTCAACAAGAGTAATTGAGTAAGTAAGTAAGTAAGTAACATGCATAGATGACCTTTGAATGACCAAGACGTAAGAAGGACAAAGAAGATGCTAATATTCAACGGCTGAATGTTGGCTCGATACTATAGTGTACCGAACAAAGAGAAAGAATGCAAGACTAATGATCCACCAATCTTAGCATATTATTTCAGACATTTCTTTATATTACTTACCACAAACACAAAACTAGACCACACACAGTAGATCGATGGGAAAAATAACGACAGAATAACGGAGACATAAATAGTCGGTTCTATAGTATTAATTTTTTGATCAATACAAACACTAAGGACAAGGGTAATCCGAAAATAACTTAGTTATAACATCCATTAATCTGGAGGTTACGATTTCATGCTCGAGACCGAAGATCCTAGATTAGATTCACGCGAGTTGTGATCGTCCATGTGCACTACTGGTAGGTCCTGCATTAGGAGGACGAGACAGCCGTTCAATGTTGTAATTTGGTTCAAGTTGTCAGGCCATATTAGTACATAGTAATAGAAGTAAATAACAATAGATAACCACAGATACTATTATCATATGGCCGAGAGTAAGATGTGTCTTATTTCCGTTCTTAAATGCTCGAATACTTTCATTTATGTTTATAGATACTGTCATGGAAGTTTTACTCGCTACCTTCTCGAGGTGAAAGTGTTATTTACAAGACTGAGAGAATAACAAGCGAATATCTAACTACACAACTTCAAGTAGATCGATGTTGGATGCAAATGATCGATCGATCTGAGTCATTTCAACAACTAGTGATGCAGATGGTCTTCAAGATTCTGAGAGAAAAAACATGTGGTGTATGAACCTACGTATTGTTGACCATCTGCCATCAGACTCCATCTCCTAATGTTGCTCTAATGTCTTATGAATTCAAAATTAAATTCATTCAATGACACCAACAGTGATTACGCAATAAGATTTATCGATTATGTTTGCGTTTATCACAACAACCAATGAATAATTTATGCAAAACAGAAAAAGTAATTACACTTTAGTGACCTTGTAACTAAATTTATTCAATCATTGTCTGATTTGCATTTTGATTAAATATAATGACTTGTACAATTGTGGTGCGCGCTACTTATAAGTAGTATATGACGTGAGTGAAAACGTATTGTCTGGCAGCAGAAGATGGGGGAAGATCAAGAAAGGAAGAGTTAGAACACAATGAAATTTGTATGAAATGCATGAATAAGTGAAATGTCAGACAATGGATTGATGATGGATTGAAGATTTGCAAATTAACGGTTACGATATGGTTTTCCTATTTTACTGAGTAACTCTGTAATTTTCGTTAAATACAATTCGGTTGCCCTCACCTGTGTTCCCCTTCAATACACAATTACAAGTGATCAGTCCTATGAAGACATCATATTGTAGTGTGTCGATTTACTGCGTGTTCTTAAGCCCGGGGTAATTAGCTCGTCCAGACAATTGTTACAAAGTAGCGTCTGACGGTTTCATAAATCAGAAGGTGAACTCGTAATGTTGAATACGTTTATTTGGGACACACCATACAAAGTGAAGCCGAGAAGCAGTGAATAAAAGGGATGAAGCGACGTGAATTGGAGAAGCGCTGTTGAGCCAACTCCTAGGATTGTAATGCGAACGAACAGGTGAAGCGCCTTGGAGAAGGCTAATGAGCCAACTCAAAGGGATAGAACATGACTAAGAATATATAGTCAGACAAAAATAAGATAGACATGTGATCAACGAGTTAGGAATGCACACACATGAATAAAAGCGACCAATGGTTGACAAGGTCAAATGACAAGTGGTGGAACACGTCACGTGAGCTCATACAAACCAGACAATAATAAGAACGAATGGTACAACATATAAATTGTTGCAATACACAAGTGGCTTGGTTAAATAAATTAATCGAAAGGGCTTAACCAAATTAAATGTAAGCAAACTGGATTATATGTGGAGGCACTACAATATAATTCTCTCTTTATATTACAACCCAGCTATTGCCTAATGCTTAGTAGTCTCGGACATTAATTCACTCGATACGTTCCCCTTAAATCAGAATACAGTTGAACAAGAAAATAGGTTATATTCCAATAACAAGGTTAGGCAGAAGTCAAGAAGTTGAAAACGTTAGTATATTTATAGATTTTTAAATGAGAAGATTCTATAACGTTCACTGAGTATCGATTGGCTATCGATTGGATACGAAAGAGCCAATCAGCGTGCAACAACGCAATCATGCCTTTAATCCAATCTATGTCCCGTTAACGATACGAAGTAAATCTTCGCTTTCATTTTCGCATATCATACTTAGATGAACCCTCGTTTCTACGACTGAAGGAATCAGAAGCTAAATACGGATTCATTGGGATGAGTATATTGCAGGCGGTCGTTCACGCAGACAGACATAAGAAAACAAAGAGTCACACCAGAGCGAAGAGAAGTTGAGAAAGCGAGTCAGTCAACTCAATGCGATAAGGCACATAACTCAGGATTTATTACTTACTTACTTACTTACGCCCGTTACTCCCAATGGAGCATAGGCCGCCAACCAGTTTTCTCCAACCAACTCTGTCCTGGGCTTCCTTCTCCAGTTCTGTCCAATGTTTGTTCATTCCTCTCACATCTTTCTCTATTTCTCGGCGTAATGTGTTCTTTGGCCTTCCTCTTTTCCTTTTGCCTTGAGGGTTCCATGTGAGGGCTTGTCTCGTGACGCAATTAGGTGCTTTTCGTAGTGTGTGTCCTATCCACTTCCACCGCTTCTTCCTGATTCCCTCCTCCACTGGAATCTGGCTTGTTCTCTCCCACAGTTCGTTGATGCTGATGGTGTCTGGCCAACGAATCCGAAGTATTTTGCGTAGACAGCTGTTCATAAACACTTGTATCTTCTGTATGATGACTTTGGTAGTTATTTCTCCAAGTTTCCGCTCCATACAGTAGAACAGTCTTGACATTTGTATTGAATATCCTGATTTTGGTTTTTGATCTTTAACGTCGTCATTGTAGTCATTGGTAGGTGCATAACATTGGATGACGTTCATTGTAATGTCCTGTTTCTTTGTTTTGAAGGATGCTTTAATGATCCTCGGCCCATGAGATTCCCATCCTATCAGTGCCTTTTGTGCATTTTTGGACAGCATCAGTGCAACTCCTTGTGTATGTGAAGCATTTTCCTCTTCATGACCAAAGTATAACAGCAGTTCCCCTAAAGCTAATCTCAGTTGTCCTACTGTGTCCAATGCGTTTCACTGATGCCGAGCACCTCGAGGTTGTATCTTTTCATTTCTGCCGCAACTTCCAGTCTCCAACAATGTACGAACGTTCCATGTACCTAAAAAAATGGTTGCTCTGGTTGTCAGAAGAGGCATCAGTCCCGTGACTTCCGAGGGAACTCGGCTTTCATCACGCGACGTCATAATTCTTCTTCCAACTCCCAGGGCAGAGTTAAAATGGTTTGAATTATTTTTTCTGGTTAGCTTTTTTTTGGCAAGTTACTTTTTGACGGAATGGGGTCGCCAACCCCATGTCCAACCTTCCTCCTTTACCCGGGCTTGGGACCGGAAGTAGCCCCGAAGGTTCTACTGGCGGAGTTACGCAGGATTTATAGTCAGACAAAAATAGGCTACACATGTGTGATAAGCGAAGTAAGCCATGCACAAACACACTCAAACAATAGCCGATTTCACGAGAGGTATGAATTATAAATCGTGAAGAATGGGACTAGTTAATTCGCCCGAAGGCTATAGGATCAAGCCCTGTAAGCTTGACAAATTTGTACACACAATGCACGTGTATTAGAGTGAAGTCTAGAATCAATATCAAGGTTCGTTAAAATGACCTTGTTTATCAATGACAACGACGTATTGTCTAAATCTATAAATGCCAATACATTGAACATATGAGTAGTATTTCAAGTAATATGAACATGGTAGTGTTCTATTTTAACACTGACCAATCAGCAATGATGACCTTGAAGTAACCAATAGACAAACAAGGATAAGACAATTCATACTCTATAGGCTTAATGAGTAAGAGTAAGAAGGTTAATACTAGTACAATGATCACTTGTCCTAAGATTTGTTATACGTTTTTGCAGATTGCTTTATTCTAGACATTCACTTTAAAAGACAGACAAAAAAGTAGACTACATCACATCAATCAATAGAAATCGACAACTAGGCATAAATAAACCTGAGGTAGCTGTGGGAATGGAAAGACGGTAACTAATAAACTTTTAAAATTTATGTCAACATATAAAACGTCAATCAGAAAAATCATTTATATAGGATACCTATTCTCAAAGGAATTCGTTTAGGGTAACGGAATGCAGGATGAACGTTTCATCTGATAATAGCTGTAGTTACATACTAGGGTTTAATATTTACCCAGAAACTTCAGAACAGTATCTTCTGTTTCAAACATAAACAGTTCACGTGCTAAAATATTGAGTCGAACTCGATACTGCTTGTTTTTACATGAGAAGCTTCTGGAATTTAGTCCACATGACTGACTAGCGCTGATCGATTAGATTTAGCCAATCAGTGTGCAGCTAACAACATGAGTATTGATCAGGTGCTGATTGAATAGGAATTAGCCAATCAACGCGCAGCTAACGCAGTCATACTTTATTCCATCTATGTATCTTTGACATTTTAACATCATGAGTGGATTACCCTAATTTTTGTGTGGATATAAGAGTTGTAGAAATTGTTGAGTTTCATTAAAATCATGAATGGATCAAATTTAGATCATCATTAGAAATCTGAGAGCACAGATAGCCATTTCATTTTAGTATGAGACTCCTTATTAGTGAGAATCCACGATCGGGCAAACGAGAACCGAATCCAGGACCTTCGATCTCGCAAGCAAACGCTTAACCTTCTGATCAATTAGCACACATCCAACAGTGTTAATATTCCGCTCGTGGGGTCATGTCTGTTGACTGATGAAGAGACCCATTCTAGGACGAGAAGATCTTCCAGAGCTCCCAGGTCTTCAATAGTGTTTTAGAACCTTAATATGACTATTTTATACATTTTTGAAACCATGAATCGATCAATGTTAGACCACCATTAGAAACCTACAAGAAGCACTGGACGGCCGTTTCGTCCTGGTATAGGACTAATCAGCAATGCACATCCACGACTCCTACTCCTCACAGGACCTGAACCTAGGACCTTCGGTAATGTGACGCTTTATTAGCCCAATTAGCTTAACGAATCTTCTGCAGTAATTCAACCATAATTTAAACAATTCACTAACCGTATCTTTGTAAGATAAATTCAGTCAAACTCGCTTAATATCACCTAATAAACTGAAATTGATATTATATGTCTTAATAAATAGTGAAAAACGAATCATTCACATTATTAAAAATGGTGCGTTGGTGAAAACATTTATTTACAAAATAGTTTTTGTAAGAAAATATGAAGCGACTCCAGAAAATACACAAGATACTCGTGATCCATTGGTTAGACACCATCAGCCACAACTGTTGGGGATGTTAGATCCCCAGAACTCACTTGATAAGGGCAGTAATTTTGGATTTTAATTCGTGGGCTGATAAGTTGACCTTGAGATCACATTTCCCACCAGGAAAATCCTTGGCTATGATCGGTCAATGTGTTATTTTAGTGTGCTATTTCCGTGACTCTCCCAAAGATGTTCCCATGATGTATAAATCAACAAGATTTGTGTGCTTGAGATCATTGTGCTAGCTGAGTGTTTGTAGAATACACTTTCGACGCTATATCAAGACTTTTTCTTCAGTTAGTTGTGGCAACGGATCAGAGTAGCCTACTGTATCACTGGTTTATTGTCTAGTTCTCGTTTATCGACTAAGGTGAACTCGTAATAGTTTCAAGGATATCAATTGATGAGCATAATAATTAGGTGTTAGTGGGACATGGAAACAAAGCATGACTACATTAGTTGCGCGCTGATTTGCTAATTTCCTATCCAATCAGCCCCCATCGATTCTTGGAGAACAGGGTAGAAAATTCTCGTGTTGTTAGCTGCACGCTGATTGGCTAAATCTAATCCAGTCGATCACGTGAATTACAATCCAGAGGATTCTCTTGTAAATATTATAAAGAAACTTACGTTGTATCTATTTTGCCCTCGCCTTCGGCTTCATATTTTCATTTAACCTAGTTATTCGGAATATAATCTTTTCCTCTTCCACCGTGTTTTTAGTTCTTTGGAACTTGTCCAGTGTATTGTGTGGTCAGAGATTACTAAGCAATAGGATTTAGCTGGGGATTATCTAAGCAAGCGTTACAACATTAGGTAATCAAATATTCAGTCTGCTTAAAACTAGGTTTCATAGCTGATAACATAATCGGGATTACTGATGTTATATTATACTACACACAAGAGATTCCAGATCCATTGGCTAAACACTATCGGCAACAACTTAGTGTGGAAGAGAACATATCAGCCTACAACTGAGGCACAAATAAGGAAGTAATACTGTCGGCGGATAAGATACACATGTTGAAAATTATCAAACTAAGTCACGAGGTAAATTTGGAATACTTGAAGCTAAAAGAAACAAAGCAGATCAAAGCACACACTGTACCAAGAATTAGAGAGGCAGACATGAAAAAAGTATAAAAAAACATTTAGAAACAACTGGAAAGGCGAGTGGTGGACAGAGTTGATTTAAGTATGCTTATTTGGGGACTTAAGCTTCAGAGGGAGTAACAGACCTCAGTAAATCAATCAATATATAAAGAATGTATACAGCGATAACACACCATACCAAACTAATGTTCATTGAGGCTGTAAGGCCTCCACATATATTCCAGTTCGCTTACATCTAACTTGGTTAAGCCCTTTCGATTAATTTATTTAACCAAGCCATTTGTATTGCAACAATTTTTATGTACCATTCGTCCTTATTATTTATTGTCTGGTTTGTATGAGCTCACGTGACGTGTTCCACTTGTCATTTGACCTTGTCAACCATTCGTCGCTTTTATTCATGTGTGACTATTCCGCTTGTCGCATGTCTGTCTTATATTTGTCTGACTATATATTCTTAGTCACGCTCTATCTCTTGGAGTTGGCTCGGCAGCCTTCTCCAATCCACATCACTTCCTTAGCCCATTCGCTCGCATTGTAATCCTAGGAGTCGGCTCAACAGCCTTCTCCAATGCACGTCGCTTCATTCGTTTTATTCATTGCTTCTCCACTTCGCTTTGTAGTGTCTCCCGAATAAACGTATCCAACACTACGAGTTCACCTTCTGATTTATAACCGTCAGACGCTAATTACCAAGGTTAAGAACACGCAGTAAATCAACACACTACACGAAGAGAAAGGAGGAATCGTGTCTACATATTTCAAAAAATTTGACCTTAAACGCACAAAAATTTTTCCAGGGCACAATTCTGCACCGTGGTGGTGTTTCGTTCTCTGAGCTGGTTATTTTGGTTGTGGAGCCTTGATTGTTCTTCTGAACAACATCATTAGCAGCTTAGCACTCAGGTCAATCAGCAATCAACAAACATATTGACATTGACCTAATTTATCAACTAGTCAGAAAAATCGAAAGTGACATAGGATCAAGTGACAGATCAAAACAAAGGCGCAAACAACCACGGGTTTAAGGTCAATAACAACCAATCAAGATCGAGGTTAGCAGAACAAGCTACATGTCAAACATGGAGAAATTCTAATAGTTCATTTCTGTTTGAAGTTTGTGCTGATCAGGTTGTTCAGAAGAACAATGAAAGCTCCACAATCAAAACAACCATCTCAGAGAACGAAACCCCAGCACAATCATCCACCTGAGCTACAAATTTTCACCACCATCTCCCAATTGTGCATCACCTGCTTGACAGTAGTTGTGATGGTGAAGTCTAGCAATCTTTGAAAATAATTTACAAACAAAGGAATTCAAAACTGACATAACCTGATAACTGAGCAACCAACGAGTTAATTAACACCTCACCTTGTGGTTAGGATAGAGTGTAATCGAAAAATAAGCCCAGATCAGTTCTATCGCAATCGATAGCGTTCATATAGTTGACAGAAATAAAACATTGAAAAAGATTTTTCGTACATCCACTCCCTTCGATCTCGTCTCTTACACGTAACATCAGCTGTAGGGATTCGAACTAACAACCCGAATTTTTACGTTCATCAGAAATTTATGAAAATTCTATTAATTTCTCAACCAAACTGATCTTCACAAACGATTTTATTGATTACCAATATTTTCCATACTCCGTGTCTGTTCGTTTATATCCCGCCTCTTCAACTTACACCTGTTACTACTCAGTGGAGCATCGACGGCCGACCAGTATTCTTCAACCTATTCTCTGCACTGGGCTTCTCACTCCACTTCTGTCCGATTTTTGATCATTCTTCTCATGTCTTTCTCTGTTTTTCGGCGTAATGTGCTTCTCGGCCTTGCCTTCTCCATTTCCCTTGACCACGAGGATCCCGAATGAGGACTTGTCTTGTGACGCAGTTGGGTGCTTTCCACAGACAAATGCCCTCACTATTCAATTATCTACAAAAATTTCTTATTACATAATCGGTAACTCTAATAAAAATGTTACTATTCCAGAGTCTAATTTTTCCAAGTTGTTCAATCTACTCTCTATTTCTACTTTACAGAATCGGTTTTCTTCAAATCAACACATGGCTTGGATTATTTTTGTCAAATGGCTACCAGTGACATCCAGGATGCACATTTTAATCTACTGAACAACACTTGTCAGTTGGGTGGATCCGCGATTTGGTTGCTAAAAAGAAAAATCGTCTTTGCGTGTTCGGTTAGTGTATAGTACATAACTGGGTTCCTTTCAGATATCAAATAGACAATATACAGTTAGCCGTGAGTAAATTTGATAGTCTGATAGCGTCTGAAGTACTGGGTTCGAACCCTGGAATGAATATCAGCTATGAGATATGATAGGTACATCTAGGTGATGACTTTCAAATAAGACTTGAACAAAACTATTCATCTCACATTCCACTACGAACAACATTCTTATCGTCTTTCTAATGTAATCAATGTTTGTGTTTCCATACTTTTCTAGAAAAATTTATACATAACTAAGCGAATATTTCAAAAAATATTTTCCCAAAAATTCTGTTAATCAATTTACTTTGCTAAAAGTAACGCTTGTTGATCTAATGAACTATTGGAAATTGAACTGTCATCAGTGGTTTGTTTCAATTCGTCAAATAAACTATCATGATTTTCATTGTCATTTGAATGATGAGAAGTTAAAAAGTAAGGATTCTTTGATAGTTCTTGTGCAACTGATCGTTTTAATGATGGCGATTTCACTCGATATGGTTGATTGAATAAAGAAATTTTTGAAAAATCATCAATCATTGCCTAAGGCGGAAACAAAAAGCAACAACAATGGAAAATAAGGATTATCGACAGAGGTGTAATGGAAAATTAGTTGTACAATAAATCAATATTTACTGATTCTAGTTGAGCCATTATTGTGACACGTCTTACTTTTGTTTCAGAGTGAGAGAAGAAAGTGTTATTTATGATGGACCAGTGTCCGAACAGACAGATAGACAGACAGACAGATGCAACGTAGAACTTCGTACGTAAGTACATCAGTTCATGTTACCATACCATATCAGTACAGAGATGTCATTGTCCATTCAAATCCAATAGTAGAAGAGGTAGTAAAGGTGTATTAGCAGTAATCGGACGGGATAGGATTAGAAGATATTATTCAAGAAGTATGATTCAGTGAGAAAAGTTTAGAAAGACAAAACTAGAGGTGTTGAAGAATCCACAAGATTAGGATTTGAGTGAACACAAAGAGTAAATGCATCCGTGCCATTGCAAACGGTTTCGAGTCATGTCATTCAGGGTCTCTAACCATTGATTATTATCATCTCGCGGACCACAACCACGTAGTCGACACCTATCGACATGACTCAGTCAACTTGTCAATGACTTCATGGATTTCTGCCATGTTTTGGATGGCCACCCCTAACTTTCTTTCAGTCTATTCCTACAGTACAAAACAAAGCTCGTCGAGGCAGTCGGTAGTTAGGCATATGTAACATATGTCCCAACCACCTCAACTGGTGAAGTTTCAATACTTCATCTATTGATCTGCCATTCTTACCTAGCACCCGTTTCCTAACAGCAGCGTTGCTCACTTGGGTGTCCCACGATATACGAGCAATGCTTCGAAGAAACCTATGATCGAAAACCAGAAACCTACGAATATCTTCTACTCTCACTGGCCATGTTTCACAGCCATAAAGTAAGACGGAGCGAACCACTGCGCAGTACACTCGTCCTTTAGTCAGCAAACGGATATCTCGCCTACGCCATAAGTGACGCAGGTTGGCAAAAGCCAATCGAGCCTTCTGTATCCGAGCTTAGATTTCGTCAGTCACCAGGACTGATGAGACTCCCCAGATAAGTGAAACGGTCTACACGCTCGACTGCTTCACTCCCTATCACTAGTTCAGGTGCAGATGCAACCCAATATTGGAGCAACATTTTGCATTTCGAGGGGGAAAACCGCATCCCGAACATTCTTGCATTGTTGCTTAGGGTAGTCAGAAGATGCTGCATTTTGTCAGCATCTTCACCAAGTAGGACTATGTCATCGGCATATTCTAAGTCAATAAACGATCCTCCTGGTAAAAAGTCCGAACTCTGAACTCGATATGTTCTAACCTATCAAAGTGAGTGAGTAGGCAACGATGGAAGAGAAAGTCTATTTGGCTATCGAATAAAATACACGTAAATAATTATTTATACAAATTTATATATAATCTTTAGAAAATGAATCCATTTCTCGATTAATGGTATATAAACTACCTTAAAGACATTTCCGATAATCGTTGAAATGACCTTCACGTTTGGCCACCTCTGAACGGCTTTCCTCTATAGCAGAAAATACATCAGATGCTGACCTGATCAGGACTGATTACTAAAAGCTATATATAAATTTTGATGGAACTGTTACTGAAGGATCTTTGGATTCTAACCCAGACACAATGATGTTTTATTGATATATACAGTTGCGAAGATTGTTGAGTTTAAGTGAAATAATGAATCGGTGATTATTAGACCATCAGCCTAAATCTAAAAGCATTGGACGACCGTTTCCTCCTAGTATCAGAATTCTCAGCAATGGGTATCTGGATATCCAAACATGACTAGTGGGATCCAACCCTGTCGGGTTTAGACAGTAACTACTGAAGACAAGAAGTTAGGGCTGCATAGTATTAGGGATTGATTTAAGTTAGACATAGACACAATTGGATGCTGACTTAGTGATCTAAGGGTTAAGCGTGCAAGAGTGCAAGACCTAAGATCCTGGGTTTGATTCCCGTAAGCGTGAGTCGAAGGTGTACATTTGTGACGAGTTCTATACTGGAAAGAAATGGCCTTCCAGTGCTTCTAGGTACCTGATAGCGGTCTAACATTGATTGATTCATGATTTCAATGATACTAAAGATTTGTATGATATCAGATGTTTTATTTAATCCGTTGAGAGTTAGAAATCGGTTAGGTATTTCAGTTACACAAATTCTCAAAGCTAAACATATATTCTTTACCTTAGTCAGTAAACGAGAGCGAGGATCGAGGATTCAGTGACACGAGTGTCCCAAACCCACTATGAGTAAAAGAAGAAGATTCAATATGAAGTAGAACCTGTATTCTACAAGCATTCAGAAAGTACTAGGTCCGAGTCCAGAAGAGGCTAAGGATATAGGACTAAGGATCCAGGTCATAAAACGTTACAAATAGTGCATATTTATACAGTTAGGTAGAATAGGAAACAACATTTGAAGTATGTGACATTGATAGTTAGGAGGACCAAATAATCCTCTTAGGATATTTGGTGAATATCCTAACATGTTAGACCATTGCTAAGAAACGAGAAGCACTGGACAGTTATTTCTTCATAGTATCGGACACCTCAGAAGCGCTCATCCAACCCGAACTCAAACACTTAACATTTTTGACTGCCAAACTGGCATTCAATGGTGTTAATGTTGAACTCCATCCAACCAATTCATGTTAGTGTGCAAACATCATTCATTCTCGCGCATCTAGGACTCCGACGGTGGTGTTGTTAGGATATTCATCCAATATCCTAAGAGAATTATTGGTCAATTCCTATTGGTTAATTCCTACTGGTCAATTTTATGTCTTCTTTAATTGTACTCGGTTCAATACGAAGATTCATGGTTAGGATATCGGTTATTTGTGTCTTTAGAGATGGTGTAAAAGAAAAAAACAAGGCAAGCGGAAAGAATAAGAGATTTAAAAAAAAGATCGGCACTGATTGTTATGCATGAACGTAAACATGTCAATTTTGATACACTTGAAGTATTATGAGTTACCCTTAGTCGGAAAACGAGAGAGAGGATCGAGGATCCAGTGACACGACAGGCTACTCTAATCCGAGTGTCCCAAACCACACTGAATAAAGGAAGAAGACTTGATATGAAGTAGAACTCGTATTCTACAAACATCCAGAAAGTGCGAGGTCTAAGTCCAGGAAAGAATCAGGATCCCGGATTAAGGAATACGGGACCGGGTCCTGGTCATAAAACGTTACAGACAATACGTATTTATACATTTCGGTTGAATATGAAACAGCATCAAAGTCTGTGACATTGACAGTTAAAACGACCAATAGGAAGCAACATTTAAAGTGACATTAACAGTCAAGACGACCAATAAGAAACAATATTGGAGCACGTGACATTGATATCTAGGACGACCACGTTCAAAATGACAAGTAGGAATTAACCAATAGGAATTGACCAATCATTCTCTTAGGATATTGGATGAATATCTTTATACTGGTGTTCTAAAACAAACTGACCTGAAAAGTTAGTTACAGTTATTCAATAATTTAAATTTCGTATTCCTATGGTTAATTTTCATAGGTGATCAGAGAAGTCTCTTTCAGGAAATGAGTCACTTGATCGACTGATCATTCATTGGTTTAAATGGTTAGCCAGTCAAAAATGGCCAAATGAGAAGGCCATTTGATGATGACCTTCAGGAAATGCTCCAATCGATGAGTACATTTTATTGGTCAAGAAATGGTTTCATTTTCTAGGGAGGTGCAGTATATCTCAGTATCTCAGTATTTGTACATACTATTCAGCAGCAGATAGCCAGTTTGAGGAGCTTTCATCTATCACGTTTAGATTTGTGACACTGTACAACGTGAAAGTTTATATTTTGGATGATAGTTGACAGTGAAATCTAAAGTATGTATTTTATTTTTGTAAGATAGGAAAAACAGGAATAACTACCTCCTAGCAGCGACTACTCCACTGAAATCCTCTCCATGTGTTAGGATATTCATCTAATGTCCTAAGAGAATTATTGGTCAATTCCTATTTGTTAATTCCTACTGGTCATTTTTATGCTCGTCCAAGATATCAATGTCAGGTGCTGCAATGTTGCTTCCTATTGGTCGTCTTAACTGTCAATGTCACAGACTTCGATGATGTTTTCTATTCGACCAAAATGTATAAATACGCATTATCTGTAACATTTTATGACCACGACCAGGACCAGGTCCCGGTCCTGGATCCCTAGTCTGGGATCCTGATCCTCTTCTAGATTCGTACCTCGTACTTTCTGGATGCTTGTAGAATACACGTTCTACTTCATATCACGTCTTCTTATTTTTGCTTAATATTAGGGAGTGGGATACTCGGATTTGAGTAGCATGTCGTGTTGCCGGGCCTTCGAGACTCGCACTCGCTTTCCGACTAGGTAAACTCGTAATAGTTCAAGTATATCAAGTTGACGTGTTTACGTGTAGGCGTAACAGGTGTAACATGAACTGATTCATGATTTGAATGAAACTCGACCATCTCTACAACCCTATACTAGGTTGACTTGTAGCGGACTCAGTGAGATCAAAGGATTTTAATAAGTGAGGCATATCAAATGTGAAAATAATTATTAAAAACAAATCTCTTTTTGCAAAATATTACCTTTTTATTTCTTCGATCTATTGAGTTAGATTTCGGTCTTCGTTTACGATTCTGATCGTACCTATTAATTTTTTTTGTTCACAAATAAATTGTTAAAAAGGAAGTGAATTACCATACAGTACAATACAATACAAAATAATTTTTCAAATTTTCAATATGAGAAGGGGATTTGAGGAGTTTGTATTAATCTCAAAGTCTGAATCACTAACTAATCGATATTAGCTAGACCACCATTAGAATCATGGAAGAACTCTCTTTCTAGAATGAGACATCATAGTTGGCGTACATGGTAAAAAAATTCGAACCAAAAACATAAAAAAATTAAAAATATAGTGTCAATCGTTAGTTACGTCATATCCGGCCACGGAAGAGATAGGGGGTGTCAGGAATTTCTTCTGAACACATAAATCGGGGTTGAATGTACGTATTCCTATGGCTTCTGCTATGTTTAGGAGACGGGATCGAACTCTGTTAGGAGATGGTGGAGGTATACGATAGCTCACCTGAAAAGATCTAGATTTTTCTACAATGTAACCACTATCTACCAGATGCGCTAAGATAGAACTGCGTCTTGTTTTTGACTGACCCTTCGTAAACCATGCCGGGAGGTGTTCACTCATTCGTTGGTTAAGTTGCCTGGAAGTACGCCCGATATAGCTATCTTCACAGGAGCAGCCGAATTTGTAAATGCACATAGAGGAAGCCAACTTAGGTAACTTATCCTTCGTTTTGGTAGACATCGCTGGTCGATTGGAGAATGTCAATGCAAGTTTGGCAGCGTTGAATGTTCCATTAATTACTCTTATTAATCTGTCCTTCAGAGTATCGCAGTCCACATCTACGTTGAATTGTAACTTCATAAATAAAGGCTTCTTTTGGGGCGGTCGAAATCATCGACTTCTTTTTTACGGCAAACATATACTTCTATATGAATGCGACGGGATAACCAATCTCGGTTAGTGAGCCGTTGATGAATTCCAGCTCCTGACTTAAAGTATCCACTGAATAGATTATGGAAATCTTAAATATTCCTAAAATAATACAATCTGCACAAATCCTCTTCATTTATTAACAGACATGTGATCACTAGTGAATAGTGTCAAATTTATTCTTTGTTATTCTAGAGAGAAATGTCATGACTAGTGGAGTTCAACTGTGTGTTTGGTGTGAGACAATAATCTACCACAGATAATGAATGAACATTGTGGCGGTGGTTCTCTAAGCTGGCTGGATGTTTTGGTTGTGAAGCTTTCATTGTTCTTCTACTGAACAACATCATCAACACAAACTTCAGGTAGGGAAGTGGAGTATTCGAATTTCTCCATCTTTGACCAGTAGCTTGGTTCTGTTAACCTCGATCTTGATTTATTGTTGTTGACCTTAAACCTGTCGTTGCTTGCAGCTTTGTTTTGATTGTATCTCCCTTTTGATCTGTTTCTTGATCCTATGTCACCTATGGTTTTCCTGATCGGTTGATAAATTGGGTCAATGTTGCTGTGTTTGTTGATTGCTGATTGAACTGAGTGCCAAGCTTCTAAAAATTCTCTAGTGTTCTTTGTCCTCCCCCTATCCAGTATTTCCACATTGTTCCAATCAAATGTGTGTCCACAATTGTCGGTGTGTATTGTATTGGAAATCACCCAAATACGTGACAAGACAAGACGTAACTTTGAGTCCTCGAACACAAAAGAAAAGAAGAACACCAAAGAACACAACCCGCCGATAATTGGAAGCAGACATGGAAAGAATGAATAGCAATTGAATAGAACTGAAAAGGAAGGCCCAGGACAGAATAGGTTGGAGGATTCTGGTTGACGGCCTATACTCCATTAGGAGCAACAAGAGTAATCTAGTAAATATTTTATTTTATTACAGCACAGAAATATTGGTACATAGCGGTACTTAAACGTTTGTGCAACACGCGAATTATTCAATTTGTAAATGAAATTGTAAACTGCCTGGCGTGCCAAACCGAAATACGTGGTTATCTTAAGGAGGCACTCGCTGATCATGGAAATTACACGTCCTATTCGCAAAGCAATGGATCAAAGTGAGGAGATGCCCAGGATCTTGGATCTGAGATGCACTACCGGTTTGAAATCACGGTTTTTTATAACTGTCCCATATGAATCACCTGCTCCTAACGCCATACCTAGTTTTAAGCACCGGACATTCACTTTTCGACATCTTAATTTGGTGAAGAACACCAGTGCCACAAAGAGGCAGTGAGTAGAACTTCTTTCACGTGTGTCCATATGAGAGCATTTTCATAGAGGAACAGAGACAGATAGCAAGAACAGATGCTCCCAACTGTCGGCTATCCCAACGCATTCGAATTTTAATACACTTGTGGTGCGAGCTACTTAAAAGTAGTATAAGACGTGAGCGTCAACGTAATGTCTGGCAGCAGAAGATGGGGGAAGATCAAGAAAGGAAGAGTTAGAAAACAATGGAATTTGTATGAAACGCATGAATAGTGACAATGGATTGATGTTTGGCAACAGGAACAGTCCAGTTCGATATGATGGACTGATATTTTGCAAATGAACGATTTACGATATGGTTTTCCTATTTTACTGAGTAACTCTGTAATTTTCGTTGAATACAATCCGGTTGCCCCACCTGTGTTCTCGTTCGCTACACACTGAATTAAACAAATCAAATCAAATAGCTCTTAGCAATTCGCTTACATGGATTTCAATGAAACACTTTGATTGAATACATTGCCTTTCAAATCCATCATAGTATTGAAACGTGTTAAACAATTCGTGAAACGTTGAAAAGTTGGTAAAATCGATTGATTTGTTGAAGCTGAATCATTTTTTACATCAGGTGATTGTTCCTGTTGTTGTAGTTGCTGTTGCAAAGGTTTTAAATTCCTTGAAGATCTTCTAGTGTCGTTTGATTTTGATAGAATTAAATGATCTAGAAAGGAGTAAAACAAAGATAATATTGAACAGTGAACAGTACTTATGATTCTAGGAAGGATTTGATTTTGACCAATTTGGTTTCGTGTGCTGTTACGGATATGAGGGAGGTTATCACTTCCCAGCTGCCCACACCGTGGAAGGTTGTTTCTTGAGGGACCTGAAAAGGAAGGTAGATTAGTGTTGGTCTTGGAGACCTGGGTGCGTGACCGCAGAGTCCAAGGGACAACTGCTTGAGGCCGGTCACGCACGGCCTTTTTATGGAGGGTTTTTTGAGTATTAGCTCCGCTCTTGAAGGCCCTTAGTGGGCACCCTTACCGACGGAGACGGAAATCCGTGAGGTAGGGTGAGGTGTGACATTTTTAGGGTCGACCTTTTTTAACCCTTCCTTCCTTGTAAGAAGGCAGCATCGCTGCAGATGCTGGTTGTCCGAGGAAAACACCTTACTGCTGTCACACTCCTCTACAGTTAGTCAGCAGTACGACTTCGCACTCAGACCCTGAATAGCTGCTTTTGGTCTCATCGTTCTCCAATCGACCTGCCTGGCATGGTAGAACCTTCAGGAACATATGTTCCAGCCAATATAGCTCGGTTGGGTCATCACGATAGGCAAGTCCGACCACCACGTCAAGGTAGCAGCTTCGGTCGGGACTTATGGTTCTAATTGGTTTAGGTAATGTAATTGATTGTTATGTCCTACAGCAGCTGATCAATACTTATCGACAACCTGATCAATTGTAGTACTAACTATTATTGATGGCAAGAATTAAGCTACCAACTTCATTGCATTGGGGCAGGCAAGTGTTCGAAGCAAACGAAATTGGGTTCCAGTCTCCAACTGAATATCAACTTTAGGATGAGACAGTTGTATCCAGTTAATGGCGATTCCCAAACAGGACGAAACGCGTGTAGTGCACTTCATTGCTTGCCACTATCTGTCTCGACTTAGAACGTTTGTAACTGAATGTCTATATCAAAAAAATCGATCAGTTTTACTTCGGACTATTTAGGGAAGGATCCAAACTATGAATACACATGTAGTTAAGTTACGTTGTTTGTGCAAAGCTAGGATTATTACTATATAATTTCTTAAATTGAACTAAGTGTATCATTCTTAACACTAACCAATAAGCCAAGATGACCTTGAAGTAACCAATAGACAAACAAGGACAAGAGAACTGTATGCTTGGTAGTTTTTGGCCCAATACTAACTAGGCTTGAAATAAAGAGGCAGAACACAAGTACAAGTACAATGATCACTAAGCAATTTAAGTTTACCATTAGAAACCTGGAAACACTGGAAGGTCGTCATTTCTTAGTGTGAGATGCATCAGCAGTGAACATCCACTACTCCCGCTACCTGTGGGATTCGAACTAAGGACCTTAAGTCTTAAGCACGGAGGCCTAACCTCTGAAGCATTGAGCTGGTGTCGAACAGTATTAATGTCTAACTTCGATCAATCCACGGTCTTGCGTTACCTCATCCATTGTCTTCAATAAGATCAGCTTCACACCCGACAGAGTTGAATCGCACTGGTCGTGATTTCTCACTAGAACTCGGTGAAACTTTCGCACCGAGCTAGTCATTAGTGAGAACATGTAATTCACATTACCGATCAATCTTGACCAGTTGATCGGTGGTCCAGCGGTTAAGCGTTCCCGTGCAAGATTGAAGGTCCTGGGTTTGAATCCTGTGAGTTTCAGGAGTTGTACATTGGCACTGCTGACGAATCTCATAATGGCTGTCTACTTTCTTCAGGTTTCTAATAGTGGTCTATCATTGGTCGATTCACGATTTCAAAAAATAATAACCAACTGAGTATATGAATGAAGACTGAATAATGACAAAAATGGCTCAATTCTTTTTAATCGTGATGTGATTACATGAAATGAATATTTTCAGAACGTTGATTTTCCTCTTTTCTTGAAATAAGTAAGGATGCCCTAGGTGATCAAATCATGAAATTATATCAAAGTATCAAAATCTAGTGCTCACACTCACCTATCACTAGTTTCATACAGAATCCTCATCAAAATTTACTGCAAGATTTTTAGATTTTAGCTAATTAGAGTGAACTCGTGTTCCGTAGATGAAATGATATGACTTAGAGTGGGATGTCCAGAATTTTCTTCGACCTGGAGTATAATAGAGGCTCTTCTGAAGCTAGTCTTAGTTGTCCAATCTGCGTCCAGTGTGTTTCGCTGATTCCAAGCACCTACAGGTTGTGTCTTTTCATGTCTGCAACAACTTGGATGACTCTCACTGTCTTCCACAATGTACGAACATCGCGTGTACCTAAATTGATGGTTCCTCTAGTTGTTAAAAGAGGCATCGACCTCGTGACTTCTGAAGAAAGTCGGCATTCATCTTGAGGCTGTATGACTGTTCTAAAGGAAGACCTTCGAACATGCTGGGCATAGAATAAGTGGTTTGAATTATTTTTTCTGCTAAGCGTTTTTTTAGCGATTTACTTTTCTACGTGATGGGGCTGCTAACCACATGCCCTATCTTCCTCTCTTATCCCGGCCTGAGACCGACAGTTGAAATGACGCACATAAGAACGATGAATTAGCAGTTAACACCAATACCAAACCTGATTTACTTAACTACAAATCTACATATAACGTTATGTTGCTCGATCTTAACACGCTAACTCTCTAAACTTGCTGCTTAAGCAAGAAAGTAACAGAAAAGCAGGAAGTCTATCTTCACTACCCAATTATATGTACAAACATTTGTCTATATATAAATAGTTTAACTCCTTAAAAAAGGAAGCCATTTTTTGACCAATGAGAGCGCCACCAAATGTCCTTCTCATTTAACCACTTCCGATTGGCGGCTCATTCTATCTATTCAATCGCATTTTAAATTAACTCAAAATGTTTTTGTCCATTTTATACCAGAAACCAGGTATAAAAACACAACTTACTTTCTCTAATTTTATTCAAATGCATTCGACGTATTTGTGATAATCTTGCAGCACGTCGTAGCTGTACAATACTCTCTGACGATGTTGTTGACAATAATATCGGTAATTCAACACGGTAAATAAAATTTCTATCCAAATTATCCAATGATGCAGTATTCTCGCCAACATTTTCCTCACTGTTATTATTATTGATCGGTGTGGATTTTTTCGCTAAAATCGATAAAATATGCGGATTGGATTCATGCTTATCATTGTCGGTATTATTTTGTCTCACTTCGTCGTCGTCATCATCACCATTGTGTGAATCATTTTTAAAATTGGCTAATTTTTGAAATAATTCATAATATTTTAATAGGCAAATTGTAAATACTGTTAAACCATCATCTGTCAATTGATTAATATTGGCGCCGAAATCTAATAATAAATTGACTAGTTTCATATTCCATGTTAACTAGAAATAAAAAGTTATTCAGAAGAAAAGAAAGGTGTATTTGTGTATATTTAATTATAAACAGATTAGTTAATTTATGACCTCCGTCAGCGGGAATCGAACCCAGGAATTAAGGTCTCTCGTGCTCAAGAACGAACGCTTAGATTCTGGACTACTGAGTCAGCATATATAACAGTGTCAGTGTCTAACTTCAATCAGTCAATCCCAGGTATTGTGCGACCTCATCCGTTCATTGACTTCGATTGGTAAAAACTGTCTTACACTCTGAAAAGGGTGAAGTCCATGCAGTTAGTCAATAGTGAGTGAGTACATGAGAATGGGGGTTGTGGAGATTGTTGAGTTTCTGTTAGTATATTCATCCAATATCCTAAGAGAATTATTGCTCAAATCCTATTGGTCGATTTCTGTTGGTCAAAATTATGGTCGCTTTTATGTGTCAAAGTCAAATATTTCAATGTTGTCTCTTATTGGTCAGCCGGACTGTCAATGTCATCTCAAATGTTCTTTCCTATTGGTTGTCCTAAACTATCAATGTCACAGACCTTGAAGCCATTTCCTATTCGATCAAAATGTATAAATACGCAGTATCTGTAACATTTTATGACTACGACCAGGACCAGTACTCGGTCCCGGATCCCTAGTCCAGGATCCTGATTCTCTTCTGGATTCGGACCTCGTACTTTCTGGATGCTTGTAGAATACAGATTCTGCTTCGTGTCATGTTTTCTTATTTTCACTGAATATGGGGGTTGAGATAATTGGATTTGAGTAGTGTGTCGTGTCACCGGATCCTCATTCCTCGCTTTCGTTTTCTGACTAGCTAAACTCGTAATAGTCCAAGTATATCAAGTTGGCGTGTTTACGTGCAGGCGTAACTGTTTCTCTGAAATCTTTAATAGATAATGAGTTCTACACCAGAATGAAAAAACTGCTGTTCTAGTTTTTAATGACTGTTCAACATGGATCGATCTATGATTTTAATGAAATTCAACATTCACTACAACCCTACTTTATGTCTGTGATTGTTGAGTTTTTCTCACAATTAGTTATTTATACAGATTGTCTATGGTCTTAATAATTAATTAGTTTTGCGTTATGAATTCAACTTTGACTTGTCCATTCAATAAGATCCGTTAATCATTGAGTTAAATAATATAAACGATGTTTGTTTGATCAAACTGCACCAACGCACGTCAATTACGATCGGATATTCGAATAATTGTAGGTTCAAGAGGATTCTTGTACCCGGAATCCTTGCCCGTAGCTGTTACATAGATGAAGTGGTTGGACTTGTCTGTCGTGACGAATAAACCAGGTTAATTTGTCAGGAACATGCGTTAATATAGATCTTAGCACGTCAGGTAGGTTAGTTTAAGAACGATTAAATTAATAACAGGAACTTAAGGTCTGAGGGTGAAGTTGTGCTGCTGAATGCACAGAAGTAAGGTGTTCTTCTTTGGACGAACGACATGCTGACTTCTCACAGAGGAGCTGATTAGAAGAGATGGGTTGTACAAATGTCACATCTCACTTTAACTCACGGATTTCAGTCTTCGGTAGTAAGACTTTTCGGAGAGTGGAGCTAACACTGTAAAAAAAACTTATTAGAAAGAAGGTCGTTGTTAGGATATTCATCCAATATCCTAAGAGAATTATTGGGCAATTCCTATTGGTTGATTCCTACTGGTCAATCAAAGTCACTTCAAATGTTGCTTCCTATTGGTCGTCCTAACTGTCAATGTCACAGACTTCAATGCTGTTTCCTATTCAACCAAAATGTATAAATACGCATTATCTTTAACGTTTTATGACCAGGGTCCGGATATCTAGTCCAGGATCCTGATTCTTTTCTGGATTCGGAGTTCATACTTTCTGGATACTTGTAGAATACAGGTTCTACTTCAGATCAAGTCTTCTTATTTTTACTCACTATGGGGGTTGGGATAATCGGATCTGAGTGGCATGTCGTGTCGTCGGATCCTCGATTCTCTCTCTCGTATTCCGACTAGGTTGACTCGTAATAGTTCAAGTAAATCAAGTTGACGTGTAACGTGCAGGCGTAACAGTCGTGCTCAACCGGCCTCAAGCAGATGTTTCTTGGTACTTTGTGATCACGCTCCCAGATTAATAAGACCAACAATAACTCAGCTTCCTTTTAGCGTTCTTCAACAAATACCCTTCCATGGTATGGAGAGACGGGATTCGACAACCTCCCTCATATCGTTCACAACATACAAGATCAGGTAACACACTAATGCACTATTCTTATACATGAATACCATACATAAAAATCTGTACACTCTTTCGTTCAAATATAACAACCATTATTGATGTAATGATTTTAACCTGTGAAATCTGTTTGTTATAAAGAAAAATAACTTGTATTGTAACCGAAAAGTGAACTTGAAAATCAGTTTATGTAGAGACTTTTTTCAGCTTGAATTCTTCCTTGCCTCGAACGCTAGCGTGTTTCTCTCACACACTCTCTCTGTTGTCATATATCCATAATATTTGAAATTCGGTTTTTAGAAAACTCTGTACAAGTTTATCAACAAACATCATGTGAACATAAGTTATATTCGGTCAAGACGAATTCTTCATCCATTCAAGCAGACATATGTAAGAATGAAAAGTGTAGAAGCAAAGTTAAACGAAGTAGAGAAGAAGAGTGAGCCAACCTCACACAATTAAACATGACTCAATATTTATAGTCAGACAAAATAATCTAGATTTTTCAATTAGAGTTATTGAGATTAGTGTTTTTACACATTTGAAATCATCAATCAATCATTGTTAGATCAACCCATTAGAAACCCGAAAGCACTGAATGGCCATTTTGTCCGGGTATGAGACTACTCATCAGTAACAGTGCGCATCTACGACTCCTGCTACTTACAGCGTTCGGACGCAGGACCTTCTGTGTTTTGAGCGAACGCTTAACTTGTGGATCTCCAGCAGTTTTAATGCCTAACTCTGATCAATCGAGGTATTTCGCACGACCTCACCCATTTGTCTTTGGTAGTTACTGCCTACACCTGACAGGGTTGAACTCCATTAGTCACGTCTTCTCAACTAGAACTGTGACAATTTCTTCACGAAGCTAGTCACTAGTAAGCACAACTCACGACTTTTTAGTTAGAGTTATTGAGATTATTGTTTTTACACATGTAGTAAATGAAGTAAGTTGTGAACACATATACTCAAATAGGAACAACCAAGATAGAAGCGAATAGTTGGCAACATCGGAAGACGTGTGAATGAAAACTCGATAAGAATTCACCAAATTGTCCATAGGCTGAGACGAACTCTAGAGGTTCGACCGGCATAAAAGTACACACACACTTCAAGAACTTCTCGCTCAAACTACGCTTTCTTATTTTAAATTCAATAGCGATCAATCGGTTACAGTAATAAGAAATTTAATCTTAAGGTTCATGTGTTAGATCGATATTTTCACTCTCAATGCCTACTTTTGCATAAACATTTGTAGACTCACATATATATATTCATAAATATAGGAAAATTGTACAATGTGCTCACTAGTGGCTAAACTCGTGAGGAAATTCTCGGAGTTTTAGTGAGAAGAGGTGACTAGTGGAGTTCAACTCTCTTGGGTGTAGGCAGTAACTACCAAAGACAAATGGGTGAAGTCGTGCAAAATACCTCGATTGATCAGTGTTAGACATTAAAACTGCTGAGTTCTGGAACAGTAATCCAGGGGTTAGGCGTTCGCTCACAAGACAGAAGGTCCTGGATTCGAACGCTGTAAGTAGAAGGAGTCGTAGATGCGCATAGCCACTGATGAGTAGTCCCATACCAGGATGAAACGGCTGTCCAGTGCTTTCAGCTTTCTAATACGATAGTCCAACAATGATTGTTTGATGATTCCAAATGTGTAAAAACACTAATCTCCATAACTTTAATTAAAAAAAGGTAGATCTTTGTTAAAAATTTTTATTTACTATTATCATCCAAGTTGGAGCACCTACAATTGAAGAGATCAGTATGGCCATCAGACAAATCCAAAGCGGCAAAGCAGCAGGACCAGACAACATTCCAGCAGAGCTAATGAAAGCAGGCGTGGAAGCACCTACAAAAATATTCCACATTTTCTTCAACAACATTTGTGATGAAGAATAAGTACCATCAAACTTGAAAGAAGAACGCCTCATCAAAACACCAAAGAAAGGTGATCTCAGCAAGTGTGAGAACAACAGAGTGATCATTCTTCTCTCAATCCCATGCAAAGTTTTCAACAGGGTACAGTTAAACAGAATGAAGGACTTCGTAGACGCCCAACTACGAGACCAACAGGCTGGATTTCGTAAGGATCGATCGTGTACTGACCAAATTGCAACATTACGGATCATTGTGGAACAATCAATTGAATGGAACTCACCACTCTACATCAACTTCATCGACTACGAGAAAGCATTAGATAGTGTGGACAGGACAACACTATGGAGGCTTCTTCGACACTATGGTGTGCCTGAGAAGATAGTTAACATCATACGGAATTCTTATGATGGATTCAAATGCAAAATCGTACACGGAAGACAGCTAACAGTCTCTTTCGAGGTGAAGACCGGTGTCAGGCAAGGTTGCTTACTCTCACCCAGTCTCTTTCTCCTGGTGATCGACTGGATTATGAAGACGTCGACATCTGGAGGGAAGCACGGTATCAACTGGTCAGTGAGCGCGAAGCTGGAAGATCTGGACTCCGCAGATGACCCGTCTCTTCTTTTTTACTTTTGAAAAATATCTGGAACTCCAAACAACTTTCAACCAAAACCATAATCAGGATTTTCAATACAAATGTCAAGACAGTTTTAATGTATGGAGTGGAAACTTGGAGAACTACAAAAACCATCATCCAGAAGATAAAAGTATTTATGAACAGCTGTCTTCGCAAAATACTTCGGATTAGTTGTCCAGACACCATCAGCAACAACGTACTGTGGGAGAGAACAAACCAGATTCTAGCGGAGAATGAAATCATGAAGAAGCGGTGGAAGTGGATAGGACATACATTAAGAAAAGCACCCAACTGCGTCACGAGACAAGCCGATATATGGAACCCTCAATGTCAAAGGAAAAGAGGAAGGCCAAGGGACACACTATGCCGAGAAATAGAGAAAGATATGAAAGGAATGAACAAACATTGGGTGGAACTGGAGAGTGAAGCCCAGGACAGACAGAGTTGGTTTGAGGAAACTGGTTGGCGGCCTAAGCTCGATTGGGGGTAAGAGGCGTAAGTAAGTAAGTAAGTAATTATCATCCAAACTTACCACTGCACCTAACAGCCCAAATTGTCCATGACTATCTGTAACATTTGGATCAATACAAATTTGATTGATATCATCCGCTTGATTTTTAGTTTGTAACAAATTTCTAACTTTTTCAAATAATCCATTAAAACAATATTGAATAAATTGTATTGCCAATGTTTCATGTTTACCGGTTGATTCAAATTGACCATTGACAGCATCGTCGCCGCCATGATGTTTTAATTTTTGTTTATTCGATTTCCTAATTGACTTTTTTGATAGTTTATTCCATATGGTCGACCATTCATTCATGAACACTTGTTCAATATTTGTACAATATTCATATTGAATACTGTTTTCAAGGTCAAGTCTATGTTCTTCTTCATCGATTGATAATTTAAACAAATTGAACCAATTCAAAGTTTGTTGACATGATTTATGTAGATATTCTTGTAAATATGCAATTTGTGATATGTAGGTTTTCATTTCAACTAAACAAACCGTTTGATTTTGTTTAAATTGTGAACTTGTCAAAGAGATAATAAATCATGAAAAGAAGAATAATTCAATTATTTTATGTTCAATGATTCAATAAGAATGAAATATTAACTGTTACAATTTTCTATTATATAAATTTACCGTTAATGAGAAAGGGTAGTAATACATCGGCTTGTTGGGGGAATTAGATGCTGTCCAAATATTGACACTACAACTTGGATAGTTCAACCCTATCGTGTGGAGCAACCACACAGGTACCTGACACCCTGGTGGACCCGTCACACTATTTATATACATCAATACATTTAGTGACCTATTCGATCTCGTGAGCTGTTACGGGTATGAGGGCGGTTGTCACTTCCCAGATGCACACACCGTGGAAGAGTGTTTCCTGAGGAACCTGAAAAAGAAGGAAGATTAGTGTTGGTCTTAGAGACCTGGGTGCTTGACCGCAAAGCCCAAGGGACAACTGCTTGAGGCCGGTCACGCACGGCCTTTTTATGAGAAGTTTTTAGAGTATTAGCTACGCTCTTTTTTAAAGCACTTTTTCGGCAATCCTTACCGCCCAAGACGGAAATCCGTGATGTAGGATGAGGTTTGACATTTTCAGGGTTGACCTTTTCTAACCCTTCCTTCCTTGTGAGAAGGTAGCATCGCTGCAGATGCCGGTTGTCCGAGGGAAACACCTTACTGCTGTCACATCTCTCTACAGTTAGTCAGCAGTACGACTTTACCCTCAGACCTTGAGTAGCTGCTTTTAGTCTCATCGTTGTTCAATCGACCTGCCTGGCATGGTAGAACCTTCAGGAACATATGTTCCAGCCAGTATAGCTCGGTTGGGTCATGACGATAGACAAGTCCGATCACCACGTCAAGGTAGCTGCTAGCGGTTTATAATATAACATTAAGATTTGAAGATAATATTATACTCCTCGAACATTATGTTCACATCATAATTTCCTACAATAACTGTAATTCTTCGACTATCTCTACCACTATGGGATTTGAATTGACAGTTGCGTCTCTGTGTGCTAATGTGGTATGGCAGCATGAAATGATGTACTTACGTACGAAGTTCTTCGTTGCAACTGACTGACTGAATACATGCCAAACCATCCACAATTTCCATCATAAAGAATTTCCGGTTTCATAGGTGAACTTCAGCTCTGTCTGACCACTCCATTAAAAATCTATGACCTACGCTGGACGACCGTTACTACTTAGCACGAGACCCATCAGCGATGTGCGTTAACGACTTTCGCAACTCACAGGTTTCAAACCCAGAACCTTCTGTCATGCACGCGAACACATAACCTCTGGTTTAGTGAGCCAGCATCCAACGCTATTAATGTCTAATTCTCATTAATCTAAGGATTTTGCATGACCTCATCCACTGGTGTTTGGTAGTTACTGCCCACGCCCGACAGGGTTGAACTCTACTAGTCACGTCTTCTCACTAGGACTCCGAGAAGCTCCTCATATTGCTATTGGTTAATGAACACATCGAATCCAGGACCTTTAGTCTTGAGTGCGAACGATTACCCTCTAGACCATTAATCCGGAATCCGGAGCCGTGTGAATATCTAACTTATCTTATCATTAGGGTTCCTGAAATAAATGTCAAACTAACATGTCCGATGACAAAATCACTTACTCAAATAAAAAATTTTGTTTAGAAACATTTTCAAATTGTTGTTGTTTAAACACATCGCTTTTCAGTTCCGCTACATTTAACTCAACATTTTGCATATGTTCAATAATTTCTGTTCCTTGTTTTAAATTATTCAACTTTAAATTCGATGATTGTATAAGTGTTGACGGTATACAACGTAGTAATTGTTTAAAACTTTGATCTGCAATAAATTTTTCAAATAATGGACTTTTTACATTCCATACTTGAAATGATTTTGGCAAGTTACTTTGTTTTAATATCTATGGAAAAAGGAGGAGCGAAATTTAAAAAGTTCATTTGTAACAATTTTAAAACCTTCATTCTATTCGCTCGTAGTTTTACTTTCTAAATTCTTGATCCCGAACTGCAAAACAGAAGTCTTGATAAACATAGAAAGTATATTCTACAAACACCCAGCAATCACAATACAATCAAGCACACACAACTCTCGTTTATTTATACATCATAGAAACGTCCTTGGGACAGTCACAAAAATAGCACACTAAAATACACAGCAACCAATCACAGCCATGGATTTTCCTGGTTAGAAATGAAATCTCAATGTCAACTAACTGATCAGCCCATGCTCGCAAACGTGAAATCCAAAATAAGGCGTTTATCCAGCGAGTTCTGGGGATCCTAACATCCCCAACAAGTGAGGCCACCGGAAAAAAAAATACTAAGAACTGCTAATCGGCTCTTTTGTCCTATTATGGCAGTGGGCGTCGACAACCCACCTTCCAGAACACGGGAGTTGAACCCAGGATCTTCCAGATCGCTTGCGATCACCTTACCTCTAGACCGTTAGGTCGACAGTCATGTTTCCATTAGTGGTCTAAGATTTGGTCCAAGATTTTTCATGAAATTGTTATCTGAGATCTAACATCCCCAACACAGTGCACATCCACGACTCCTGCCACTCGCAGGATTCGAACCTAGGACGTTCAGTCTTGCATGTGAACACCTGATTCTGCTAGTCTAACAATCATTGATTCATGATTTCAATAGGATTTTTTTGGGTAAACTATTTATTGAGTAATTGATCGAAAACATTAAGACTTTAATTAGATGTCATACTTTCAGTTTTCCCTTGAAACTGATCAATATTTATCATAGAACTTTCACTAGTAAGTTGATTAATGATGTAAGCTTAACACCAATAAAGTTTTTACTTTTCTCGGCTCATATCACCAGTAACACAGATGATCAGTTCGTCTATATATTATAAGGCTTGCTATATAATGGTCTTCTCCTTATATGACTATGAATTTCCTGAAAATCCATAGGTCGCAACAGTCTGGTAGTATGTTTACGTGAGAGATAAACTCCCAGTGTACGACAAGACAGCTGGGTATAAAAATCACTAGTTTTGAGCGTAAACTATTATATACATATGTGTATATATGTGATCAAACGGTTGACACCTAGAACAGAAGTAAACTAGTAAAAAAATAGAGAAAACCATTTATCTATCCATGACTTCATTTTGGTTGAAGTAGTATTGAACGGTATAAAGATTTCTGATTACAATCCAAAGGATAATTGTAACCTTTGAGTTTTAGAAAGTGCAGTCATTTCACAGCCTACATTACATTTTCATATCTGGATAACTAGACATTGATTGAAATCATGAATCAATCATTGTTAGAACAACATTGGAATCCTGCTCATGAACTCTTAACCTCGAGAACAAGGAGGTAGCATCCAACGGCACACTGCTGATGAGTCTCATGCCAGGACGAAACGGCTACCTTGCGCTTGCTTCCAGGTTTACAATGGTAATCTAACAATGGTCAATTTATCTTTTCAACAAGATGGAATCATTTTGCCGCAACGTCCCCAAACATTTCTCAATAAATGTACGAAATAATGTTAGCTAGTTTATAGTATTTTACTACTAGTATTCTCCACTAGTCGAGCTATATTATTGTTAGGATATTCTTCCAATATCCTAAGAGAATTATTGGTCAAATCCTATTGGTCGATTTCTATTGTTCAAAATTATGGTCGTTTTAACTGTCAAAGTCAAATACTTCAATGTTGTCTCTGATTGGTCAGCCGGACTGTCAATGTCATTTTAAATGTTCTTTCTTATTGGTTGTCCTGACTATCAATGTCACTTCAAATGTTACTTCCTATTGGTCGTCTTAACTGTCAATGCCACAGAATTTGATGCTGTTTCCTATTCGACCAAAATGTATAAATACGCATTATCTGTAACATTTTATGACCACGACCAGGACCCGGTCTCGGATCCCTAGTCCGGGATCCTGATTCTCTTCTGGATTCGGACCTCGTACTTTATGGATGTTTGTAGAATACATGTTCTACTTCGCACTCAAGTCTTCTTATTTTTACTCATTATAGAGGTTAGGATAATCAGATTTGAGTAGCATGTCGTGTCGCCGGATCATCGATCCTAGCTCTCATTTTCCGACTAGTTAAACTCGCAATAGTTCAAGTATATCAAGTTGATATGTTTACGTGCAGGCGTTACAATTGTCTTTCAAAATATTGATTAGTTGTGTACAGTTTGCCCTTTTCAGTAAAACGAATAATATATTTAGCTAGTGATGGCGCGTCCTTGTTGGCTGCACACACACTTTGAAAATATGGCACACACATCCATCCAACTGATGCGTCCCACCCACCTAATGGGTAGGAAACGCGCATCCTGCTTTCCACTGCAAGCCATCTTTTAAAGTATAATGTTTGGTTATTTAAATAAACTTACATTTTGTATAATTTGAAAAAATAAATCAGTTGAATTCATCATGAAATAGTCATTGAACTCATTCTTCTTCTCATTGGAATATTGATAATAACCTTGTTCATTGTTCAATGTTAATAATGATAATTCACTATCCTTTTTAATTGATTTCTGATATTGAACATGTTTAAACATGAGGTTTAAATTAACTAATTTATAAAAATTATATTGTGGAAATTGTTTAGAAAAATGAAATTCTTGATTTCGATTTTTATTTCTATTCAGTACAGATTTTCTCAACCGAATTAATCGATCATTTTTCCAATAACCAACATCAATTTCATAGGGATTCGATGATGATTTTAATGAATGTGTGATTAGAATACCCGGTCCGTAACGTTGATCATCTAAGAAGAATCCCTTTTAAATGAAAGAAAGGAAAAAACAGTGAGTATTTAGTAAGAAGCGATAATTTAGTGTTTCTGTAAATGCCTTGGGATGGTCGAAAGCGGGTTGAATCAGCTTTCTCTCACTCTATCTATCTTTCTCGCTTGAACTGTTCTCATACGGCCACGCATGTACAGCCACTATCAGGGAAGTCTTACTCACTGCCTTTTCGTGTCACAGGAGTTGCTCACTAAATTGAAATGATGAAAAGTGAGTGTGTCCGGTGCTTTAAGTAGGTTAGTTAGTGGAGGATCCTCCTAGGGTGGTTATAAAACACTGTATCTAAAATAGTGGTGTCGGTGTGCTGGAGGATCCTGAAGTAGGATATGGTTAGCTATGTGTTGTAAGGCTTGCTTAATTAATTCCCAGCTAATTCCTATTGCTTAGTATTCTCTGACCACAATACACTGGACAAGTTCCAAAGAATCAAAAACGCGGTGGAACAGGAAAAGATTATATTCCAAACGACAAGGTTAAATAGAAATAAGAAGGCGAAGGTAAAAATAGATACGTTAGTTTCTTTAAAGTATTTACAGGAGAAGCTTCTGGATAGTAATTCACGTGATCGACCGGATTAGATTTAGCCAATCAGCGTACAGCTAACAACACGAGAATTTTCTACCCTGTTCTCTAAGAATCGACCAGGCGCTGATTGGATAGGAAATTAGTCAATCAGCGCGTAGCAACGTAGTCATGCTTTAACTCCATCTATGTACCACTAACACTATGATACCTGTTACATATTTCAGATGGAGTTGAAATCCACACTATCATCACTGAGAGATTAGAGCTTATATAAGTAATCAATACCAAAACTCTAACTGGAGCCCTTGTTGGGTTACTGCCGGTGCTAAGCAACCCGGATAAAGGAGGAGGGTTCGGCATGAGGGTGGTTAGCGAACCCATCCCGTAGAAATCCAGCTCGCTAACGACAAAAACCGCTAACCAGAAATATAATTCACTAGCCGATGGCCTATGCTCCATCAGAGGTAACAGGCGCAAGTAAGTAATCAATATCAAACTAAAAAAAGTCATCGGATTTATTTCTAAAGAGAATGCATCCATGTTTGGATATTCATTCAATATCCTGAGAGAATTACTTTGTAAGTCTTATTCTATTGGTCAATTCCTACTGATTAAATCCTATTGGTCATCCTATCAATGTCACATACTCCAAATGTTGTTTCCTATTGGTCGCCCTAACTATCAATGTCATACACTTTAGATGTTGATTCCTATTGGCCGTCCTAACTGTATAAATATGCATTCTTCTGTACTCAGCCCTATAAACAATTTCATCTAACAGTGGGTGTTTTGTTGTGATATATATTGAAGATTTGAGAACAGTATATGAGGTCTTACTAGAATATCTGAATTTGGTCAATCGGTAGAATTTCGAATAGCTGCTCAGCAGATGGAGTACACGGCTTATCCACCTAGGGCAGCTGGAAAATCTTCATTCCAAACTTATGATTAATATAGGCTTCAGAATTCCAATGAAGTGAATGGCGTATGGACCTATTGTAGGTGACTATCTACCATAGGAATGCATCACGTGACGTTGCTCCGCTCCATGTACTAATTGACACCTGGACTGAGCCCATGTTATTATGTATACATGTAAACGACCTGGTTTGGAATATCTGAATTTGATCAATCGGTAGGATTTTAAATAGCCGCTACATAGCATCATTAAAACAAGTAAAAATTGGCCATCAAAAAAACCCAAACAGACTATATTACTAACTTCATATTTTGAATTATTTGAATATTGCATAACTCCATAACCGGATCGTTTGTCTAAATAAAATGTACCGAAATAATACGATCCATTAGGCCAAACATAATAACCGTAACCATGTTTTTTATCATTGAAAAATGTTCCAAAATATTTCTGTGGAAAAAGGAGAAGAAAAAAAATGTTGTGTTCATTGAATTTTTGTTTTATTATTTAGGCGGTGTTTTTTCAAATTTCAAAAATTTCATGCAAATCTTGTAATCGACGATCATTTTTGTTAAACTGTAGCATCTCAGTGTATCAAACAATTCTTATATTTGTAATAATTCGATTACAGTTTATCGATTATTGTATATTTGATTATGTGCGTGTGTGGATGCTTACTCGTTTATTATTGCCTGACTATCAATACTACTTAGTTATTGCTTCAACGTTGAAGAGTTGGCTCACTGGCCTACTCTGATTCGCTTCACTTTAACTGTACGCTTTCCATGCTCATGTCTGTCTGTATAGATGAATGCATAAAATACAGTTATCCGCAACACCGTATTTGGCTCCTTACTACCGTAGTCAAACGAACTAGGTTTGCCTATGTATGTGATATACGCTTTTGCCAACCTGCGTCACTCATGGCGTAGGCGTGATATCCGTTCGTTAAGCAAAGGACGGGTGTACTGCGCAGCAGTTCGCTCCGTTCTACTATATGGCTGTGAAACATGGTCGTTTAGAGTAGAAGATGTTCGTAGGTTACTAGTATTCGATCATAGATGTTTAAGAAGCATTGCTCGTGTATCGTGGGACAACTGAGTAAGCAATACTGTCGTTAGGGAAACGAGTACTAGGTAAGGATGGCTGATCAATAGATGAAGTGGTGAAAATTCATCAGTTGAGGTGGTTGGGACATGTGTTACGTTTGCCTAACCACCGACTGCCTCGACGAGCTATGTTTAGTGGTGTAGGAGTAGGTTGGAATAAAGTTAGGGGCGGCCAAACCAAAACATGGCAGAAATCCATGAAGTCACTGACAAGTAGACTGATTCATGTTGGTAGATGTAAGCTAGCGGGTTTGCTTCCGCGAGACGAAAGTCATCATTGGTTAGAGACCTTGAACGACATGGCTCAAAATCGTTTGCAATGGCGCAAGTGCATCCATTCTTTGTGCTCTCTCAAATCCTAATCTTCTGGAATTGTCAGCACCTCTACCTTTGTCTTTCTAACCTTATCTCACTGAATTATACTTCTTCATTACCATTAATACCGCTACTATCTTTATCATTATGGGATTTGATTTGACATTTGCGTTTCTGTGTTAATAATGTGGTATGGCAGCATGAACTTATTTACATACACGTACGAAGTTCTACGTTGCAACTGACTGACTGACTGATATACGCAAATGGATAGGAAGATTTATTTCATTGCAAACTCGATCATTTATCCTTACTGGAGTCCACTCGTGAGCCACTAAAAGTACATCATTAGTAAGCTGGAAACGGTGGACAGCCGTTTCGTCCCAGTGTGGGACGACTCATCAGCAGTACGCATTCAGTCGAAAATTGTTCAGTTCACAAACTGACTTTTAGTTAGAAAATTATTGAAAATTTCGGAAATTTTTTTCAAATTGTTTTGTTTAAACCAACTACTGAAGTAATTCAAAATGAAAGCCTTTTATTTATTAGAAAATCAGGAAAATGGTTAGATAAAGATTAGGTTGAAACTATATTTAATGTCCAAGATTTAAATAAATTATCACAGTGGTTTTGAACGAATTGTACAACCACAGATGCAATTGCGGGACAAGCTAAGATGTTCTTTTGCACCACAGTACAGCTAACTAGAAAGAGAAAAAGTTCTGATTGAGCAGACAGATGACCGACCGGAAACAAACGAACTACTAGCATTCAATTCCTGCGTAATGTATACAAGTCCTTGAAAGATTCAAAAAATAGCGTACCGAAATAAGAAATGAATTATTGATGTTTTGAGGTTCTTACATGTGAGAAACACAAACTGGAAGCGATAAGTGACGCTTTTAAGTACTAAAGTAAAGAACTCAAATTACCCAATTTACCAAGAGATTTCTAGTGTCCTCATATCTTCAGTGACATCAGTAGAGCCAATTTCGGAATAAATAAGATGTCAAGAATAAACTCAAAATATTTTTCATGGCCTCTAAGCCACAAAATTAATATATGTTGGGGATGTTAGATCTCCAGAACTCGCTTGAAAAATATCTTTATTTTGGATATATTTCATGGGCCGATCAGTTGACCTTGAGGTTACATTTCCCACCAAGAAAGTCCTTGGCTGTGATTGGTTACTGTGTTATTTAAGTGTGCTATTTTTGTGACTGTTCCAAGGACGTCTCTATGGAGTATAAATAAACACGATTTGAATGCTTGGATTCATTGTGTGCTGGCTGTGTGTTTGCTATATCAAGACTTTTTGCTGGTACAGTTAGGACAACCGGGTCACAG